CCACGGAGTGGCATTGAACCCCCTGCGCCAGCGCCAGGCGCTGCGACCTTGACTGCGCCTGCGCAACAAGAACGTCTCAACGCTGACGCTTTCGCGGATCGCATGAAAACGCTGCAGGACGAGCTGCGAGCTTCAATGCAATGGGCGCAAGCAAAACAAGCAGAATACGCCAATGAAGGAAGGCTACCCGCACCAGCTTTCAAAGTCGGCGACCAAGTGATGCTGGACACTCGCAACCTACGGACGAAAAGACCCTCCGCGTCATTAGACCTAAAGAACCGCGGTCCCTTTACTATCGTTCGCGCCATCAACAACACCGCATACGAGCTAGATCTTCCCGCTAACATGAAGCGCATCCACAATGTCTTCCACCCATGGCTCTTACACTTGGTTGACGACAACCCACTTACTGGACAAACACAAGATCCTGAGGTCCCTGCGGAGTTCGACCCAGAAGTGGAAGACGACACTGAATACACTGTCGAAGCAATCGAAGACTGCCGCATTAATAAGAAGCTTAAGGATCCTGCCGCCCGCGGTCGCAAGGGCAAGACTACCCAAGGCCTGCTCCAATACTTGGTACGATGGGCAAACTATCCCGACGGCCCCGACAATCCTTCATGGGAACCATACATGAACCTCGCGGACTCCGCTGACACTGTGACGCGCTATCACCTTGATCACCCAAACAAGCCGCCTATGCACAGGAAGTTTAAGTCTCTCACAGGCAAACAAGATATGCTGGTTATGCGACTTCACGCTCTTAGTCGTGTCTAGCCAGTGGTGACAACAGCAGACAAGACCAACAATAAGACTGGGATAATATAGTTGTGCTTGCTATAATCGAGGGCGTCGATAAGTTGTGCTAGAAATAGGACTTATAGACGCTGTGCTCGTGGCAAGGACTAGACTGTCAAAGTTACTATTGTTAAGACAAGATGCTAAGGTCACCACGCCACGATGATGATCCATAATTACTGTGCACAGACAACGGGAATAGAATGTAGTAATGGAATGGACACTGCAAGCGACACGCTTGGTATGCAGCAGTTTTGCGATATAGGTATCTCCTTTGTATACAATTTTAGGCAAAAAAAAAAAAAAAAAAAAAAAAAAGGCAGTTCGAGCGTTGGAACTTGCTCTCTTTTTGGGGGGGGTAGTGTCATGGATCAAACCCGCGACCTCTAGTAAGCGAGGTGGCCCGTGCGCCTTAAGCGAAGGCCACAGCCGAACACCAAAGTTCGACCCGCGCAGGTCTTCGAACCTGCACGCAATATCTCACTTAGTACTTAATACAGATACGGTCATCTCAACTATTGACGTCCCTCACAGAGTCTGCTAAATCTGCTCCTTTAAAGCCTAAAAGGCATCTTCGGTAGGGCAGGATACTAAGCTCTGCCAAACCTAGATAAAATCAAGCCTAGCTTTCTCAATAACGTCCTTCTCCTCCGCTGTAGCAACCCTCCGAACGTCCCAAGCTTTTACAGCTTCAGTTTAGACGTTTTGATATATATGCTAAATACAGCGACGCTGCGGGATGCCTAGAAAGATAACGGATAACCTAGCTTTAAGAGACCTATCGTGATTAGTCAAGAAACACTTTAGGGAGACGCTAAGGTAGTCGAAGAGCTCCTTTAGGTATTGTACGACCTCTAGGTAGGTCTCCGCAGCTTCATTTAGGATGAAGGCGTACGCAATGTCGTACGTTGTTGCCCAGCAAGTGATACCCACAATATGAACCAGCGGCATGTTAAAGGCGTTCGTTTTGTACGTAGCATTAATCTCAACAACGTCTAGGTTACACTTAATAAGCTCAAAGGCGCGTAGGTAAGCAAAGAAAATAATACGGGCACGACCTTAATCATCCTAGGTTATCTTATGCTAGAACTTAGTATCCTCGTTACCGCTGTCATCACAAGAGTATGTTGAGAGGAACTCAGCCAGCGCTTGAATACGTGTACGGCCACTAAGCTCCTCGCGGCGGAGCTTCGCTAACTTATTTAATACATCTAAGCGTGTTATATTAGCTCCCGCCGAACGTTCCTTTCTTAGTATCTTTATAGCTAAGTCGCGATTGCTCTTCGCGCCCTTAATGCGCTCTAGTAAAGCTTCATCGCGCTTCTAGAACTGCGGCAAAGCAAGTACACTAGCAGTAGGATAGTTGTGACGCCTATCTTCCGTAGTGAATTGCCATCTAGAAGCTCTAGAAGCTCCTTTAGCTTCTACCTACCTTATGCGTCCTTTCTACTCACAGGCAGTTATTCTAGAGCTCTGTTTCCGCTTGTTGCTACTAGTCGAGCTATACGTTCTACCTTGTGCACACCGCAATATAGCTCCACGAACTGTCCTTACTAGATTTGCCCTTAAGGGCTTTGTGTAGAGCGGGGTCCTAATGCTAATAGCGAATCCTGTGTTTATTAAAAGGCGATTTACTTCCTGAACAGCTTTAGTATGGGTTGGGAGGTTAATAAGGGCGGGAAGAGCAGCTCTAGGTGGTACCTAACGAAGGTCTTCGCGGTCAGGATCCCATGTTGTCGCGTAGGCATTAATCTCACTATCGGAAGGCTCGTTTTCGGTCATTTTTAAGGTTTTAAATAGGTAGAGGGATCAACGCATTTGTTGTTGTTCGTGGGGTAGTCGCGATCGGAGAGCCGACCCCACCTAAGCGGGTGGGGAGAAGCCACAATATTGCGATGAATTGTTTCCACACAACTACAAATTAGATCTAGGAGATTTTTAGTGTTTTAGAATCGCGGGATCCTATTTCGTAATTACCGAACGATAAAAGTGCTGCGACAGGTCGATGTTAGGGTTGCACCTAGGGCTCAAAACTTAGAGGTCTTAATAGATTTTGGTGTTCGGCTGTTAGACCCTGATCTTGGCACTTCTGCGGTGGTGCGCACGGACGCCGCAGCGTCCCCCATCAAAAAGCGACATCGTCAAAAGGAGACCTTGGAAAGCACCCAAACAACGAAAGATTTCAATATTAACAGTAGTTATCGACCTACAAGATACTAGGGTAGCGCCTCGCGTAACTCTCGCGTAAACGTTAGCTTCTGGCAGACACTGCAACCTCTGAGAACTATTAGAAAGAAATTGCCTAATTGGGTAATAAATTTACAGGTGTCGATTACTGTAGATGTTTTTCACGGCTTATTTTAGTCGTCTGATCTTTCGTCTCATCTGAACTTTTGGGGTTGTCCGAATAGTAGATGGGGTTGTCCGAAAAAGTTTTCCCATTTTCAATCAGGAAGTGTCAGATATTCACTCTCATCTGGAATACTGATGAAATAGGTAATAATGGTGATGATATTGATTGTTGATTGTTTTTTGGTTCTGTCTACGGTTGTGGGCACACCTGGGGGGTGCCAAGCCTTCCTGTGATCCGATTGGCTCTCTCAGATGCCGGGTCGCGCTAGTCTAACCCAGCGTCTGTACGCTCTCATCTTCAACAGTGCTATTATCTGACAGGAAGAGAGCTTGATCCTGTTTTGCTTGCAAAATACGCTTGAGTCTGATTGACCTGATTTGATTGAATAAAACGTCAGGAATCAATCAGGATCAATCAGGACTCCTGTTTGTTGACAAGTCTGATCAGCACTCCGTCACCCTCCGCTCCCCAAACCCCAACCAAAGCTCCGATGAAGAAGTGCGATCGAGCAAAAGCCCGCGACGCCGCGTCTACTCTGTTCTCCAAGACACGTTCCACACCAACAATACCACCAAAATAGTGTTTAAAACTGTTTTATTCATTTTATCGCATCGGCTTCGTTAAGTGGGGGGCGAGAGAAGCTGAGGGCGGTCTTTGTTTGAGACTAGGTGTTGCGGTTTGTGAGGCAAGGGTATTGCGCATGTCACGTGCGTTGTCCTGGCGCTCCTCCCTCCCCTCCATGAGCACCTTCTCCCCTCACCAGCATCAGAGATACGTCATGTAAATAGACCCTAATTATGGCTACATATAAGGTGGCCATGACAGCACAACAACAACAGAACACAATATACTCTGATGACTGCCTCGCGCGGTTACACTTTAATTGACTGCATTGTACTGCAACACTAGGTGCAGGGGGTAGGCTAGGGGTGTAGAGGACGACGATGGGGATGGGGACGAGGTGAATTCGTGTAACGAGGACTAGTAGACTAGTCAAGTGTTAGGATAATACAATTTCCATGCTTGAGGCAGGTTTGTCGCATACCGATGAAGGCACAATGAAGTATGAACTTGGGACGGATGCGAGCGCGGGGTTGCTATGTGATAGTAGGTATACAGTATGTAAACATAGGCTAAGGTTCTGGAATAATCGCTGATTAGGTATGTCTCTAGTACTCATCATTTCCATCCGTGTACAGATGCATTATAAAACTATCACGTGAGTAGTCTTGGCATCTAGTACATGTAGTCGTCTGACACATGAATCGCGTGGCATGGTACCTCTGGATACGGGGCTATATGTAGAAGTTGGAAAATAAGTAGAGTAAAGACCAATCGCACAAACAAGTGCGCTGCAAATATAAAGAACGGATTAAATGTATCGATACGATAATAATAGCTTATAGATATTGTTGGGAATCGAACCTGCGGTAGATAAGGCAGCTGGTTGCTGCATGCACGAGCTTGGATTACACGGCTGACTAAGCCGTGTGGTCCGAGCTCTAGCTGCTGCCTTACTGCCGACCTCCCTCCACCTCCATAGAACAACAAGAACAATCACAATCATTTCAACTCGTTGCAACGAAGGTGATTCCGATACCTTAGCCGTATCAACAGATATACATGACGATGATAGATTGTAGACATACATATACCCATGACAACTACACTCTCTATTAATATGCTTTGAACTTTTTTAGCAGTGAAATGAATAGAGGAGGGGATATATCTCCTTCTCTCCCAGAGGATCTTACACACATGATTTCTCTCGCTCGAAAAATAATTGATAAATGCCTATAGAAAAAAAAACGCCGTTACGATGCTAATAAGCCTACCGATGCAATAGTATTTAATAAGTAAAATGGTTGTTTCCATTATACTCCATGCCCGTGTCGTCACCGAGGTGGTCGACGTGCATGAAATCGTCAATGGAAAATGATGCTGGGTCAACCAGCCCATTGTTCATAGGAATGCCCATGCTGTTATGTAACTGCTGGGGTTGTGTGATCGATTCGCTAGGGGGGTCCATGCCTTCGATAAGATGTGTTGTTGGGGGTATAGAGGCACCGAATGCGGCGATGCGGTCGGGTTGGGATATGCAGGCTTTGCCTGTTGCCTCGCCTCGGGAATTCATCCAGATGCCGTTGCCGCCTTCGTTGTTTTCTACTGCGTCCATGAAAGACTGTTGGAATAATAAACTGGTCTCGTACCACCGGCCCTTGACTTCGTTGATTTCAACCTTGTAGGAGGGCTGGAGGAGCTTCCACCACGCTGCTGAGCGTGTCTTGGGGACAAGTATGCGATTCCTCCATAACATGTCCTGGACCATGCGCGAGGGGATGTTGTTGTTTTGCTGTGGGGGTTTTGGAGGAAGGTTGGGATCCGGTGCTTCTAGAAGGGCATAGCCGTATAGGTCGCCGACTATAATCACCTTTGTGTTCGTTTGGTTGACCAAGCTCTGTTCGATGATGTCGGTAATGACTAAGAGATCGGTCCCGCTACCCACGCGCAAGCGGACAGCCTCTCCTCTCCAGATCTTTTCAGCACCTAGAAACATACCGTTATACTGTCTGTACTGATTACCCTTGTCGTCTTTGGACGTCTTAAGAGGTTCGAAGAGTGTATAGGTAGCATCGATAGCTTTAGCAGCTAAGATGGAAGCGTCGACTGAGGCGATTCCTTTCCCACCCTGACCATCGATGAGGGCTTTCCAATCGGTATTGCCATATTCGTATTGCGGGTTCTGTTGCAAGAAGGGGAACGTGCAAGCTGGGGCAGACCAGGCAAGCCATGGTTTGACATGGGCGTCGGACTGAACGGTTTCTGTAGGAGGCGCCTCGAACGGATGTGACAGAGGCTGGATCTGATATGACCTATCGGCGGGATTCGCTTTGGTTGACCATCTTCGTATAACAAGTCCAAGACCCCAGGCCGCGGTTTCGGGTCGGAAGAACCAAACGGCCTCGCCTGTGCGACAGAGAAATCTGTTATATGTCAAGTCGACCTGCTGTTCAAGGGACCGCGGCTGTGGTAGAGGAGTTGACTGCAGAACCGGAGGTGCTCGTATCTGCTGTGCGGCGGGGGTGGCTACAGGGACCGGGGCGGGTGTAGCTGGTTTCGAGATGGGACTAGGAATAGGCGGGCCCGTTGAGGGTCTTCGAATGGGAGGCTGAACTGTTTGGTTCCGGACAACCGCATTGACATTGTTTCCTGTAGCTCCACCCGAACTGATTTCTCGCTTGATCGGGGGAGCCTCTTGCTTGACTTCGACCTTCACTTGGGGCTTCTCGACATCGCCTGCTGGAGAGCACATCTTGCACGTGCAATTAATCATGTCGCTGTTCTCGTCGGTGCAAAGCCATAATAGATGCGGAAAGAATTCGACGGGACTTCGAAAGCGCTTCTTGGGGCCCTTGGGGTAGCCGTAGAGATAGGCGTCCTGTCTGTCGTGTCCACCGCCAGAGTGATTCTTGACTGTCTTCACTTGGCCGTCAGCCTTTGTCTTGATGTGCTCGTATAAGACGTAGTTTTCCGGAAATTCCCACAAGATGCATTGTTGCCATTTATCTGCGGCTAATTAGTCCATGTTATGGTATCGCGCCTCGCTCTTTCCTCACCTTCATACTGCTTGCCCCCAAGCTCCCGCAAGAGCATCCCCCCCAACTTCTTGCGCCAGTCCTGGTGTTTCGGGTCGTCTTTTTCGATCAGACGGTAAAAGTCGCGCTGGCCCTGATCGTTGGGCGACATGTTAAGCTGCTCCTCCGTCGGGCCATTCCTGAGCGGCCGGCCTTTCATGTTGACAATGTGCTGGCCGTCCGACTTTGAGGGGAAAATTGGCCAGAAGGGCGTCATGGGCTGTTGAGCCATGATGGGCGACGGTGATGCGCTCACTGCGCGGGGTTTTGGGGAAGACGGTGACTGAGAAATGTCGAGGGGTCGTAAACTGTCTAGATGCCCGTGCGGACTTAGATGCCGGGGGTAAGTTAAGGCAGGGCGCGTCCTAGCGCGCCTGCTGATTTCGCGATTTGCCCCCCGACAGCGACGTAACCCAATCCGTCGCAAAGTGCTCTCACGTTCACTTCACTGTGAAGTGCCCGGGCACTGCAAACACTCTTTAGGCATGCGCATTATTGTTTTGGCTTCTTTTCACCATCACCGTCTTCCAAATTAGTCTTAGCCTCCCTTGTTGCTGCCTGCTCCATCGCGTCTTTAAGTTTGCTTCGCAAGTCGCGTTCCGGCTGACATTCGCTCCTCCCTTCCCAAGTCCAATTCACTCGCGATACAACTAGACGCTCGCCACAATGGCATGCCAGCCGACCATTACGCTGGCTTCGCCCCAGCCTATAACTCCACCTCCTAAAAGGCGTGGTGCGGAATACCAAGATCTTTTGGCCCAGTTTAGATCCCAGAGATCTGCACAATCGGCCACGAAGAAGAGGCGCATCTCTGCACAGCAGGAGGCGAGCCAGGGGGAAACAATTGCTACCGACGACAAAAGCAAACCTAGCCTGCGTGAGCAACCAACACCAAACTACGCCATATCCAATACATCCGTAAACGAAGACACCCCCGACCGCAAGTCAACCACCGTTCCCAGGAGGACCACCCGCGCATCCTTAGGACGAGCGAAGCCAGAATCGCCTAGCAGCGAAGACGAGCTTGCGCCATCAGCCCGTCCCAACCGCAAGACAAGTGCTAGGATCTCAGCCTACACCGAGGAATTAAAGATGGAGCAGAAGGGACTACGTCGTAGTACACGCGACAGAAAGAGCACGATTCTAGAGTCGGATACCATGCCCTCGCCGTCACCCAAACGTCGTCGCGCACCCCCTAAGCTCGATACCGCTCGCGCCCGTCTACGCGATGAAATTGCAAAGAACAGCAAGGCGAAAGCCAACAACTTCCTTGTAGCCAACAAAGACCTCTTCCTGCCACTTCTTCCCAAAAACAACACGGTAGCGAAGCTGGTCGCTGAGGGCAAGGCGCAACCTATTGTGGAGTATGAAGAGCTCACAGAGCAACCCAAGGGTGTCATGGCTACTATGAAGCCCTATCAGCTGTCCGGCCTTTCGTTCCTGGTCCATCTGTACAACAATGGCTTCTCTGGTATACTAGGTGACGAGATGGGTCTGGGGAAGACGCTGCAAACCCTGTCGCTCTTCCAGTATCTCGAAGAGCTCGACCAGAAGAAGGGAGTGACTTCAGAAGAGTCTCGACCCTACCTCGTCATCTGTCCCCTCAGTGTGCTCAACTCTTGGGTCACTGAGGCTCACAGGTGGGTGCCTCAGCTCAAAGTTGTGCGCTTTCATGGTGCTTCAAGCGAGCGAGACCGGTTGAAGAGGGTCGCTGTCGGTATGGAAGACATGAAGGGAAACGAGACTTTACGTGCTCGGGACCGGAAGGCTTCGCGCAAAGCCGGGCAGAAAGTCTCCAAGCTATCTGGAGGCCAAGGATCCGATGCCCCCAAAATCATCGTGACGACTTATGAGACCTTCCAGGCCGAGCAGTCTTGGTTCAAACATTCATTTGCGTGGCGCTATGTAGTCCTTGATGAGGGACACAAGATCAAGAGCAGCGTGACCCAGATCTCTACTGCGTTGAAGAGTATTAGCGCCGAGTATCGCCTCATCTTGACCGGTACCCCATTGCAGAACAACTTGGCTGAAATGTGGTCCTTGTTGACTTGGCTTTACCCTCAGGTCTTTGACGACAAGACTGCGACGCTGTTCCGGGAGTCGTTCGATCTCAGCAAAGGCAAAGCAAATAAGCAGACCATGACAGACGCGCGTCGCTTGCTTGAGCTGATCATGCTACGACGCATGAAAGACTCTCCATCTGTCAACCTTGGCCTCCCACCCAAAGAAGAAGTGTTGCTTTACGTGCCGCTCACGCCATTGCAGAAGTTTTGGTACACACGCCTTCTCACTCGCATGGACGACGGAATACTCGACGAGCTCTTCGCCGACGGCAAGTCAAAGGAAAAGGGCGCTCTTGAACAGGATGCTAAAGAGAATGAGCTACTGCAACAGATGGAGAAGGTGGACAAGGCTGTCGGCTCTGGCGGGGCTGAAGGCGAATGGGGAGAGACGGCCCTGATCGTGAAAGAGGCACTATCAAAGGAGCAGACCGACTCCAGTATCAACAAGGGAGCATGGAAAAAGCTCATGAACCTCGTCATGCAATTGCGAAAGTGCTGTTCACATCCATACCAGCTGCCGGGCGTCGCGCCTGATCCGTATTACCTTGGCGACCACATCATCCGTGCCAGTGGCAAGTTCATCTTACTAGAGAAGCTTCTGAAGCATACAGTTTTTGCCCAAGGAAAGAAAGTCCTCATCTTCTCTAGCTTCACTCGTACGCTCGACCATTGCGAAGATCTCTTATCCCTCATCAGCAACCACGGTGAGCGATTCAAGTCTCTTCGTCTGGATGGAAGTACTTCCCGTGCTCGTCGTAATCTGGACATTCGCCTCTTCAACCAGAAGGGCTCCGACTACAAGGTTATGCTTCTGTCTACTCGTGCAGGCGGCTTGGGTATCAACTTGACCAGTGCCGAAGACGTCATCTTTCTCGACGAAGACTGGAACCCACAGATCACTCTACAAGCAGAAGCTCGCGCCCATCGTATTGGACAGACGAAGAAGGTGACCATCTACAAGCTCTGCACTCAAGGTACTGTTGAAGAACAAATGATGGGTCGTATCCGCAAGAAGCTGTATTTGTCCGCAAAGATTACCGAGTCCATGCAGAGCATACACGGCAAACAAGCGCCGGAGACGAAGAGAGGACGCCCTTCCCTTAGTGAAGATTTGCCGCAGATGGACACGACGCAGTTGAAGACACTTGTACGACGAGGCGCACAGGCCTTATCGCATCCCGAAATTGACATCAAGGACATGGTATCTTGGGACCTTGAGACGATGATGGCCAAGTGTCGCGACAAGCCTGCCGACATGACCGATTCTGCGACAAGTTCCGAGGTGGACGAAGACAAGTGGCTTTCAACCATGGAGCGCGTCGAATGCGCTGTCTTCGAGGGCAAGCGCCATCAGCGCCAGCTCGACACCAGTCGTAAGGCTAACACGTCGGCTGCGAACATACTCCCTGACACCATCACGCGCGAAGATCGCCGCAAGGGAAAGAACACTACAGTTATGATCGATGGTTATGCTATTAGCAAAGAGTCGATGAACTGTGGCGACTGGGAAGCAGTGCCGACATATGCTGGCAAAGACCCTCGCCTTGCTGACCCAGTCCGCGAAAAGCGACGTGAGTTTGGCCACGAGAGTCACTGTCTTGAGTGTTTTGAAGACGCCGGTTCGGGTCACATGGTTGAGTGTAAGAGTTGTCCACGTGCCTACCACATTGACTGTCTGGATTCGTCCTACAAGTCCAAGGTTAAGGGTTTTAGTGGCTTCTTTTGTTCACAGCATAAGTGCTCAGAGTGTGACAAGTCGACCAACGATGCCGGAGGCCTCATCTATCGCTGCCGTTGGTGCCCACTAGGCTTCTGTGAGGATTGTCTTGACTGGGATCAGACCGAGCTCATCGGTGAAAACCTACCCGAGTTTGAGATCATGGGCGAAGAAGCCATGCCTGGCGGGTTCTACATCAAGTGTCCAACCTGCGTTGAAACAATCGCTGAAAACGAGGAACACAAGAAGTGGCTCCAGAACATGGAGAAGCAGTACAAGGACCAGCACCACATTTGGCAGCAGAACCGCGAGGATGCACAGCGTCAGCTCAACAAGCGTGATGTCGCCACCGAAGTATCCGCGGAGAACGATGCCAACGCCCAGACCAACAATAACCTCCTGCATCTTCCCCAGCTTGTCGAGCCCCCGGTGAAGCAGCAGAACCACATTGTTCTTGATAACGATGACGATGCTACCTCCTCGCCTGCTCTCACCGATACCTCGCTTTCCACGCCCGCACTGGGTGGTTCACGCGTCGGCACACCAAAGTACACAGAGCCCGTACCCACTACCACCAGGACCACCAGAAAGAGCAACAAGCGAAGCGAGCCATTTGGCGAGACACGTGAGGAGAAGCGGGCTAGGCTCGACGCTCAGGCTTGGACCGTAGACGATGATCCGCTCATGAGGGGTATGTACTAGGGGATGCTATCAACGGCCGGATTTCAGGTTTGCACATGTGAAGGAGTTTGTCTAGGTCAAAGCACATTTTTACGAGTAATCACATGATGAAAGATGGTGGACTAATATCTTGCTTGCTCGGGCTACATCTGTCGGGAGAGGCGTCACTGAAATCTTGCTTGCCTGCTTGTTATCTGCCGGGCTAATCTGTCTAGGGAGGCGTTATTGAAGGCCGGGCTTTGCTTCTTTTCTTCACTTTACTTCATAGATACCCCTTTAAGGTCTTCTTGGTAACGTACGGGTTTTTCGGAGTGGAGAATGAATTTATATTATGGTTTGGTTGATGAGTGGCCCGTGTGTGTATGTGTGTGCTTGGGGTGTAAGAAAGTGAAGTGGAGTGATAGATGAAGGCATGGATGTATTGCGTGTGAGAGATGCTGATTTGTTCGCATAGCCATCTAATTCCTCCAAGGGTACATAGATCACCCTTACAAGCACGGGCACACGCATAGAGCTTACACCCTCAAAACTTTGTTGTTCTATCTCTAGCACTTAAACTGGTGGGCACCCAGTTGCATACTTTTCAATGCATTTCCTCACCGACCCCTCAATCGCGTTGTTACAGCAATTGCCTGTAGCACACTGCTCAGCATGCTGGCATGGGTCTATAGTACGGGTTCCATTAGCCATTGATACTAGAGAGTAGGCAAAGGGTATGCGACTTACGTCCCCCCGGCCAGCCCGTGTGCTGACCTCCGCTGTAGCCTGGCTCTTTGGAAAGGCCTCCTTTTGGTTGTTGCTGGGCGAGATTTTCTAGGGCTTGAGCATGTCAGTTTTACAGGCTAGAAAGGGGCGGGTGGAGGGAGCGTACGGGTGTCAGGGACCGGCAGGGCGGTGGCGAGGATCGTGGCGGCGAGGGAAAGGAGTACGAGTGTCTTCATGGTTGCGCTGAGGTGGAGGTATTGAGGACAAGAGATGTCTTGTCAAAAGCAGGGAAACAGTACCATTTTAACAAAAAGTGCCCCGTGTCAAAGGTCCGATACGGTGTCATCCGGCGGTATCATTAACCAAGGGTTTCGTGTTGGCGGAGACGACAGAGAAGGGGAATGGTTAAAGAATGGCCGTGGGCGTTCCGCTTCACTCCAAAGCTTTGCAGTGTCGCCTGTAAGCAGGCGCTACCGCAGAGGCACGCGTGGTACGTACCATTTAGTCAACCTCTAGTTACAGTGGCAAGACAGATAGTATCTATTCTACCCTTCGCAATGCCCAACCTGACAATACCTTAGATCTTTCTAGTGCATGACACAAGCGAACTGGCAGGTCAATACTAGACCTTCTGCTACATTGGCTGACAACGCCTCATACTCTGTCGGTATAAATCGGTCCGATGAGCACTATTGTAGCTGTCCCAAAAGAGCCATCTTATGCTGATTCAGTCCCATGTGGAATCGAGCCATTCACCCACGCGGTGAGGTAGAGCTTGTACAGTACCTCAGAAAAGTCACATAAAGAGGGTACCTTATGCAGGTAGACAGAGATGTCAACAAGCAAGTCAAGCTGGCTTGATTCTTATCGATTGCAGATAGATGATCAAAAATTTTATCACGCCAATACTCGGATATAAAACTGTCAATATCTAGGCTCCCCGTTTCTTCAATCACGACCAAGACATGCTCATCTTAGCCTAGACAATCCGCATGGAGAGCGGCCGCTCCAGACGCCTCCCCCTCCCAAGGCTCATAATCTACTCCACCCACTTGACAAAACCACTCTTTTTGACTACCTCCCTACAAAGATCTTGTAGACTCACATTCGCAAGCAGTATGAACACCTCAACATCTGCCCCAATCTCACGGTGCATCCAATTCTTCAGATCGATTGCCACGAGTGAGTCTATGCCGTATACGTTCACAGGCTTCGCCCTGTCAATGTCTTCCACGCGCACACCAAGTACCTGCGCAACCTTTGCTGAGAACCATTCTGTAACCTGTTCGGCCGCTTCGTCGAGGTTTTTCGACTCCTTGAGCGCAGTGGCACGATTGATAGGACCGCTTGAAGACGCTGTTTGGGGTTTTGTGCTAGGTGCAGAGGTCATCTGGAAGAGGTGGCGGAATAATGGACGCTGGATGGAGTGATGCAAGTCGATGCCTTTCTCAAGGACATCAGCGGGCAGTTCTACGCCAACGAGGACTTGTGCTTCGGAATGCGATGGTGCTGGGTGGTTGGCATCGCAATATATGTCGAGCAAAGCGATGAGCTCTTCCTGCCGTATGTCCATGAGGTGCCCGATGCGACGCATGGAGCTAAGAAGATGCTCGTTCTCAGCAACCACACCTTCATTCACCATGAGCCCGAGATCGATGGATATGGCCTTCTCTCCCTGTTCAATGCGATAGTGTGCCAAGGCGTCTTTGTAGGTATTTCCTGCGGCGTAGTTTGCCTGCGCGCGACCGCCGAATACGCCGTTGATGGACGAGAGGAGGATGAAGAAGTCCAGTCCGGCAGGTAGAGTTGCGTGAAGGTTCCATGAGCCCGAGACTTTTGACTGGGTACTAATTTTCCAATCTTCGTATGTCATGTTCTCGAACAGATTGTCCTGGTATGGTGTTAGTTCTTTTCACACAGTGTTATGTTTGGCCTTGGAAAACATACCCTCAGCGCCACTGTAGCCTGAATACAACCACGGATCGGAGGTAGGCCCTCTGTTGCTGCACAAAACACGTCTCTTAGATTACTCAAGAGACCAATGTCAACGGCAGGTGTCAAAACACGAACGCCTTGTCCCTGTAATTCTTCTACCAGATGCTTCGCTGCCTCAGATTTGGCTCCGGATCTCGAAAGCAGAATCAGATTTCGTGCGCCGCGGTTGACCATCCAACGCGCAAAACTTCGACCTAGGCCGCCTAGTCCACCGGCAATGACATACGTCGCATCTGCTGGAAACAGATATCGGGGTTTTGACGAAATAGTTGCCTTGAACGATATAAGTATACTGCAATTTTGGGGCTGAGGAAGACTTACAGGGATCCTTGACTGCGGATTCAGTTCAATAACTCGCTTGCCGAATGTTTCCGGTTCTGAAAAGTGCAAGAAGGCATTCGCAGGGACTGAAGCGTCGAAAAGATGGAGCGGTCCCGGCGGCTGGATGTACATCTGAAAAGCTAGCTTCATTGCAGCTTGAAAGGTCTTTGTTACTCTTTGGAAGTCTTCCCGGAGAAGGTCCATCAAATTCACAGTAGCCATAACCACGTTGTTGGCATGATATCCACGTTGGACATGCGCCCTACTGTTCAGTGATTCGACGTTGATCATACGACCAAAAGGCGCCATATGCCCAGCCATCTCTTCCATGAGCTCCTCTGACAGAGCACCTATCACTACATCAGGCTTCCGACCATTCGTAGCCTGGTAGACTTCCTTCAAAATCGAAGAGTGCTCCACTACCAATACTTTTGACTCTGCAAACCCAAGTTTTTGTTGCAGAAACAGACTTTTGGTCTCAGAATTTGTTGTGACAAGGACATTCGCACCCAATGTCTTGGCAATCTGAACTACCGTTTGACCGACGCAACTATGTCCGTGATGAACGAGAACTGTTTCTCCCTCTTCAACATGAGCAATGCGGACTAGTGCATGGTACGCCAACCACAAGGCCGTAGGCAACGAGGCGGCGACTGCGAAGCTCATGTCATTTGGAATGGGTATTACTGCGCTGGATGGTATGCAGATACGGGACTGGCCACTACAGTTGTGTAGGGCACAGACTCGTTGTCCTAGACAAAATCCAGATGTGCATCCTGCCTCGATAACGATTCCTGCGCATTCGATGCCGAAAGTCGTCTCGTCTACGTTACCAGAAGCAACGTGGGTATCGTGATTGGTCAGCCCGATGGCCCGGACTTCTATCAGTACTTCATCGTCATCGAGCTGTGATGCTGGCTTGAGCCCGTAGTACCCAAACCATCCAATAGACTCTAGATGGCCGACTTGTTCGATACCCAAAGCGACCGTCTGTATGTCATTAAGCTGCTCGTGGATCCGCTGTTGCGGCAAGATGGCTTTCGCAACTCTTTCGTTCATGCTTGCGTATTCTGTTACACGGCTGATGTGGAGGGAGTTATTCTTTGCAGTATAATTATTCTCCAGCTGTTCGACGGGTAATGTTGCCATTGACACAACGAGACCAAGTATCGTATCCACCATTGTTGTGTGTAATGGACCATGACCGTCAATAGATAACTTTGCGAATTTACGTGTCGCGTCTTCTGACATCAGAACCCTTCCGACGCCGTCGATAAGATGGTGTCGCGGCTCAGACCAGTCGTCTTTGTCTCTTGTGATCCACAGTACTGAGCGGCTTCGGAGCAGAGTCTTTTGAATGTTAGTGAAATTGACTTCGGAAATGTCGTCTAGGAATGGCTTGTCCATTTCTAGAAGGGATATGACGAGCTTGGGTGGCGCACTGCCACCTGCAGCAAATTCTTCGAGCTTAGTAATCTCGCAAGGAAAGCTTAGTCTGTGTAATCCTGCCTGTATCGCCCTAGCATCTGCATCTTGCGTTGTGGTACAAGGATCTGCAATCACTGCAATGCTGTGAGCCGAGTTGTTGTTGAGCGCGGCAGAGTCGAGACTCCTTTCCACAGCGGTAGAGACAATGATGCTGCTATAGCGACATTCAAGCTCCTCCTGACCCGGAAGTTCCACGTCGACACCCGAGAAACCGGCAGATTGAAGACTATTATGCCACGCTTTTGTCGTCAAGCACGGACTCAGTGTTGACCGGTTCTCATGGTTGAGCGGATTCCACCAGCCTTTGAGCAGACCAAAGGCAAAACCTATGGGTATCGCGTCCGGAACCGTGGTTTCGAACAACAGTAACTTCCCATTAGGTTTGAGAAGCTTTCGTACGTTGCGCAGTGACTGCTGAAGATCATCTGTAGCATGCAAAACATGCGATGCGATAACGATGTCATTAGTTCCAGCCTCCAATCCCTGTGATACTGGGTCTTTGGAAATGTCGCAAACTCGGAATCGCATACGGTCAATGTAGTCTTTGAACTTTTCTTGGGCCGCCTCGAAGAAGCCAGGTGAGACATCAGTGTAATCGTATCTTTCCCATCTCTTTACACCTCCAGCGCTCATTCGTTCCAGAAGACGAAGAGTCTGACCGCCGGTACCAGCGCCGACCTCAAGAATCTTCATGAAAGGGTTTTTGAAACAGGCAAGGTCGATGTAAGCAGATGCAGGATGAGCGTGATGCTCGTTTGCAAGCATGGTTTCGTAATATCGGTCAGCAAGCCCATCTCCGAACATGAGCTCTAGTGGATCAGCCGTGCCCTCCAAAATGGGAAGGATGTGCTTGCCCAGATGCATGAAGAAGTGACCGTCAACACCGGAAGCTTCAACACGCTGGATGAGTTCATTGCGAGCATCGGAATCCTGAAGGAAGCTTAGGACCTCTTGATGACTGACGGGCGATTCGCCGTTGCACATACGGTTCTTCTGATATCGCAACCACAAGACGTAGGATTCCAGATGTTGGGGTAAACTCAGACACGGCCTCTTATCAAGAAACTGGACTGCCTCGACTACAAAACACAGGATCGCAGTCATCAAAGATTTGTATGACTGGACTGCGTTTTCTGCTTGCTTCGGTCGATTGACGGAGCAGTGTTGGAATATTTGCTGGCTACTCATCATATCGATGTCAGGCTTCCAAGTCAGTCTGGTGCATAGGTGACGTGGTTTTTCATCGACCTCATGTTCATCATGACTACCGATGAATGTGGTCCTCAGCTCCTGTAGCACGACGAGAGGAGTGTCCAAGCCAGGCGACATGGCAACTACATCCGCTGAAGCTCCACGGTGTCCGCGAAGCTTGCACTTTGCCGCCACACGAACTCGACCTTCACAGTGTGAGCTGCGATCGAAATTGAGCCAGATGTTTGATATGCTTGAGGGCACCATTGTGGCAAGGTCTCCTGGCTTTTCTTGATGAAGAGCAGGGACGAGGACTTGTGCAAGGCCATCTAGCACGGTGGGGTGTAAGAGGTATTCCTGGCTTGGCCAACTCGTCTTCTTCAATCTCCAGGTCTCAGGATCCAGATCTGCGCTTGCTACTCCATTCTGCCCTAGTCGCAGGTGCTTCAGATTTCGGAATGCTGGCCCATACTCCACTTTGCTTCCAGTTGACAAAGCATAGGGATCTGTCTTGGCGTGCTCATTCGTGCTGCTCCGGATAGTCTCCAACCAGTTGCGACAGGATTCTCCTTGGAGGAATGTAGCGCCATATACCGCGTCTAATGAATCATGCTTTTCAAACAATGGCCGAATCTGCGCGCTGCAGCATTGAACATACTTGTCATTCTCAATAACGAAGAGCTGGAATTGATATTGAGAACCACCGTGAGTATCTCTCTCTAGCGTTGTTTGAACTTCTGCGCTCTCTTGCCCAAGCAAGAATGCAATTGGGTACCAAAACTTTATGTTGGATAGGTGCATACCATGTGCGACATGCAAAGTGTCGTCCTCGAGTAGTTGAGCCAGAGCTTCCATAGCCATGACGAGCATTGCCGCGGCGGGAAAGATTACATCTCCATTGATGCGGTGATCCTCTAGCCACTGTACTTCCGCTAAGCGTATCGTATTACGCCACTGCGCGATATGATTGTTCCAGTCGAGGCTACGAGTTCCCAGTAAGTTGTGTCGAGCTCGCTGGGGAAACCGCATGTTGCGACTTAGTCGGCTTTCTCGCCAATACGACCGCGTGTGGTTGAATGGATATTTTGGAAGATCAGGAGGTAAGGTTAAGCTGTTTTTCCCGAGTTGGTTTGCGGCCAGAAGATCCACTGGATGGCCTGCACAGTAAAGGCCTCCAAGGGCATTCAGGAGCATCTCGCATGCATCCCGTCCTCGCATGAGTGACGTGGCATAAGTCGGCTTCGCGGTATTCGATGAACCCTGCAAGACTTCACGTATCGGAGCTTGCAATGCACTGTGTGGTCCGACTTCCAATATATGACTGATCCGAAGTTCTGGTGAGAAATTTCCTCCGAGCTTCTTCCGCGGTTTGACCCGCGATTGAGCTAAAAGCTTCTGCAATGCTGCCGTAAATTCGACTGTCGATGTGAGATTCTGAACCCAGTACGCTGCAGTGTTTAGTGTGCCAGCAGTGACAATATCCCCTGTTACGGACGATATCATTGGAACTCGAGGTCTGGCGACTCTGGGTTCCAAGTCTTGTATTGCTTTGGCATAATCTTGAGCAATGCTTTCCATAAACCGGGAGTGATAAGCCATCGGAACCCGAAGTCTTCTTGCGAAGATAGAATCTCCCTTGAACCACCGTTCAAGAATGGTAAGTTGATGTAGATCTCCGGTCAGGGTTAAGCTCTTTGGACTATTTGAACATCCAATGGCGACATCGAGACGACCTTGCAGTGTCTTTAGACGGGCAAAGTATGGTAAGATGTCACTCCGTGGCAGTGCAACTGCCATCATGGATAACTCCTGGCTGGTATTCCGTGCAAGCTGTGACGACAACACTCCCCGATGATAGGCGATCTTCATGGCAGATTTCCGTGTGAGAGCACCTGCTGCGTATGCTGCGGCGATCTCGCCAGACGAGTGTCCGATGACCACGGTCGGTGCGACATTCAGACTTTCCAGAAGATCGACAAGACCCAGCTGAAGAATTGTGCTCAATGGCTGGCTGTACTCAGGAGAACTGATATCTAATTCGGGTTGCTCTCCTTTGATGACGCTGGAGATTGACCACTGACAACCGAGTGCGGCCAGGCATTGTTGTGATGCCTCCAGACTGGCTCTGTATATGTGATATTCGAGTAGCTCTTGGCCCATGCCTAGGTACTGCGCACCTTGTCCTGTGAAGATGAATGCCGATCGTGGATGTGGGTTGATCTTGACTGGGGCCGAAATGGTTACGCTGCTGATATTGATCGACGTAGGGTGTGGTACAACACTGAAGCATCGATACATGAAGTTGCTTCTTCTAGCAGAAAGCGTGTATACCACAGCCTGGGTCTTCTCTGGATGTTGATCTAGGTACTGCAAATGTGAACTTGCCGCGACACCCAGAGCGCTCTTTTCTGGAGCCGACCAGGTGAGAAGTCGAGGTCTATCGCTTAGCTCCCCTGTACCACCATTCACATACTTCGCCTGATCTCCGTTTGTCATCTCTTTCCGTGGGTTGCGATGAGTCCGGTGGTGGCCACTCAAGCCATGTTGCTCGAGAAAATGACACGCATCGTCTAGTATAGCAGTGGCATTCGTGCCTCCAAAGCCAAATGAGTTGATCTGGAAAGCAAAGTCAATACTTTCCACATACACAAAGATTGTAACAGGTGCCACGTACACATGCTCTTCGTAGACCGGACGTTGGCCATGGCGTGGCCGTCTTGGGAAACTGCAAATATCAGTGGATGAAACCAGCTAGACAAGCATTGCACTAACGAGTAGATGTAGAGCTCCAGGGTCCACCTGATCGTTTAATCTTTCGAAGCCTGCAATTGGTGGAATTACACCATTTTCGAGGACCATGATTGTCTTCACGATGCCAGCCAAACCACTAGCTCCTTCAAGATGCCCGATGTTGGCTTTGACTGCGCCAATGTAGAGAGGATCATCCGATGTACGATGTTGTTTGAAAGCAATCCCGATGGCGTTTGCCTCAACTGGATCTCCAATAGGGGTGCCTGTTCCGTGAGCCTCAAAGTATCGCGTTGGCTCCATCTCGATGTTTCCCTGCTTGTAGGTCCTTCGGATCAGATCTACTTGAGCATCTCGGCTCGGCTGAGTGATACCTGGTGTTCTACCATCCTGGTTCGATCCGGTGTTTCGCACCACAGCGCGAATTGTGTCTCCATCTCTTAACGCGTCGGGGAGGCGTTTGAGTACGAGCATGGCGAACCCTTCCCCGCGGGCATAACCATTGGCTTTTTTGTCAAAACTCCAACAACGGCTGTCTTTTGAGAGGAAGTTGAAGTCGGACATCATCTTCATAAAATTAGGGTGGTAAACGAGGTTCGCGCCGCCAACCAGACTCTTCATAGCCATGTTAGTGCATCGCAGGCGATTCGGAGTGTTTCAGCCACATACCATTGATGAGGTTCCCAATCGCAAGTCTTGACACGCAAGATGGAGTGCGACGAGACTACTAGAGCATGCCGAGTCTATGTTCATCGATGTGCCCTTGAGATCATAAAACCAGCTCAACCGGTTTGCAAGCATTGACGGGGCAATACCCATAGCTGCATGACGCTGTTCGGCTTCATAGTCTTGCTGGAGTATGCTTAGGTAATCATTAGTGAAACATCCGGTATAGACTGACGTGTCGGAGCCACTACAATGCGGGATTGGGATACCCGCTACAAGAAAATGTAAGCAGATGTTTGCAGCACGTGTTTATATTCTTACCATCTTCCAGCGCATGATACGTCGTTTCAAGCATAAGTCGGTGTTGAGGGTCCATACATGCTGCTTCGCCCGGGGTAATCGAGAAGAACGGAGCATCGAACTTGCTCAAATCCTCATTAATGAAGTTTCCACCACGCAACGGTATCTGATATCTTTAGTCTATCTGCTCTGTCAAACTCTAGTACAATAGCTCGGCTCACTGTGCTTGGACGAGCCTCATCCGGATGGTAATAGGCATCAATGTTCAGCCGATCTCGTGGAAATTCTGTGCTGGCTGATCTTCCCTCGCATAACATCTGCCAAAAGGCAGCCTCGGATGTCGCGTCCTGGGGAAATTTGAACGCTAGGCCAATTATGGCAATAGGTTGTAAATTTTCGGCCATATCTGCCGTTGCACACTCTACAGGCTGTGCTGTTCGACTGGTACCTGGTGTATGTGTGTACATATAATGATTGCCCTGCGAAGTAGGGCCTTTTGACTCAGAACATATAGGATGAAGACATTGGAAGGCTCCGATCAGCAGACAAAAACTGTGCCTCATTTGTTAAACTTGGAAAAACAATCACCTATCGCGGCTAGCTCTTTCCGCGCATAGATTCATGACAGCTTCGCCACAACAGTGCTTACGGTGATCATGCTACGGCGAGCTACCCAGATACGATGCTCGATAGCCCCGATGTCAATGCCTAGAAACGCTATTGTCTGCCAAGATTACCGGTGATTATAACCGGTGCATGTAGGTCCCCCAGAAGCCACCGCTGGGGATTGTGGGGGCCTGCTATCATCACGGACCACTTCGGGTCTGTAGGTCGGGTTATTTATTGCATATTGGCCTCTTACGGTGGAAACAGAAGAATGCTTTGACGTCTTCATACGCTTTCTACACCTGGGGTCTTGGCTGCTTCACACCTTCTGTCCAGCTCAAGATGACTCTAATGTTAGACACCACGCCTATCAAGTACAAAGCTCTTTGCTTGCATGGGATAGGAACCAATGTCGATGTAAGAAACAGTTTACTACCAGAATGTGCATCTCATTAACCCTGATGTATTAGATATTCGAATCTCAAACTGCAGCTCTGCGGCAACAGCTGATACCACATTTCGATTGGGATTTCATCGAAGGCAGCCATTTCTGGCCCGCAGCGAAAGGTGTCTGCGAGATCTTCGGAACTCACCAAGTCTGCTATTCCTACTTCGATGGCACAGCACAGAGCGCGTTGAATGCGATCGAGGATCTTGCAGCATATGTTATCGAAAATGGGCCGTTCGACGTTCTTATTGGCTTTTCGTTAGGCGCCGCCATGATAGCCACCCTGTTGCTTTCCTCGGAGCACAGCAAAGCTCGGAGCAACATCAAGAGCGTTGCATTGTTGTGCGCCACCCTACCCAGCGACTGGAATGAACTTTTGAACGGTAGAATTACACAGCTGAGGGCGAGAGATGTGAAAGAAGACCGGAGGATAAAGATTCCGTCCGTGCATGCATGGAGTCCGGATGATGTCGACTATCCCGGCGAGAGTATTGAAGTCCTCCGAATGTGTGTCTCATCACGTCGTGTCGAGATAACGCATTCAATGGGTCACAGTGTGCCGTTCCAAGGCGAGGAGCTTATCCAATTTGCGAAAGCGATGGCTACTATGGTGGCCGGCACCAGTTATTTGCCTTGAAAATTCAGCCACATTTACTCCTGACCCCTGACTATAATCTACTTTCGTCGTTTTGTCGCGACACTGTTACGAATCGAGCTGATCAAGTAAGCTGAGTTTCTGAACGCATGATCCTTCATCGAGGTGCGCATTGAGCAATGTCGAATTGTAGGTGAATGCAAGGATGACACTGATGCTTGTAGCGATACAGGCCCTGTAGTGTGGGGGCTGTGCAGCTGAAGCATTATCTGCTGGTCAGCATGCAGATCTTCCTGAGGTTGTGGTGTGAGGAGAGTTGCTCACGAAATGCACGTAAGCTGCAGACGCCCATGAACATGCACTCATGATGAATTGTCGGTCCCCGTAAGGCTTGGCGATAACAGGGTGCAGGTGGCTTTGCAGTGCTGCGCTATGCCTCTACGGGCCGAGGCGCTTGCCGTGGTGTATACCAACGCCAGATTTATTCAACCTTCTGTCGGGTTGTATGTACGATATTTTCTTCCCAATACCACAAGTCTGGGACCCATTGAAAGTTTATTACTGAGAGCCCTAGCTTCTAAACTGTTGTGCTATATCCCGCTTTCATTGTATAGCTTCTCTTCATACATCCCGTCTTCTTGCAAATGGCTCCTCAATCGCAAGCACCGCCAACCCCGTCATTGCATCCGGACGAGATCAGTCACAGCTATGTCGTCTTCATTGGCATCACAAGTGCCATGACAGCACTTGCGACAGCATGTGTAATAGCACGTTTTGCGTCACGCCTTAAGACTATCAGCTTGTGGTGGGATGATTGGGCCATTTTGGCCTCTCTGGTGTTCGCGTATGGGTTCTTAACCACAACAGTTCTAGTGGCCACTGTCGGAGGGGCAGGATACCATATCTCCGAATATAGTCTTGCTCAGCTCGAGAAATACCTCAAGGTAAATCGCTCCACCTCTTAATGGCACATGCACGACACATGACTAAGTGAAAACAACAGATAGCCCTTGCAAATAACGTAATCTACAACGCCAGCATCACATTGTCGAAGGCATCTGTATTGCTCTTCTATCGCCGTATGTTCTCTGTCGATCGACGGCTGGCCATATCCGTCAACATCACAGCCTTCATACTGGTTGGTTACTTCTTTGCTGCTGCGGGTGGATTGATATTTTCGAACAATCCTATTGTTGGCCAGTGGAACCTCGCTGTACCCAGTACAAGTATTAACAACAGGGCGTTTTGGCTTGCCATGGCAATAGTCAACATCTCTCTCGATGTCATTATTCTGGCTTTGCCTCAAGCTCGGGTCTGGACATTGCAGCTCTCAAGGACAAGGAAGATTCTAATATCGTTGGTGTTCTTATTAGGTGGCTTGTAAGTAAAGTCTGAATCCCCGTCCAGAAGCTGTAGAGTCTAATCTGAGATCATAGAGTGTGTATCATGAGTATTGTACGGATCACATCACTCTTGACTATCGAGATCGCTGATCTTACCTGTCAGTAAATGCCTTGTTTTTGGAAGATGAACTCGAAAGCTTACTTTCAGCAGATACACTCACAACTCCAGGCATTTGGACAATGGTGGAAATGGACACATCCATCATATGCGCCTGTCTGCCAATGATACCTGGCTTGTTCAGAGCAGAGAAGGGCAGGAAGCGAGCAGGAAGTGGATTTCCATCTGGGCAGTCTAAAAGTGCACTGCTAGATTCGGCTCGGAAAGATAAGAGCAAGGGATATTCTGATTTGGATCGGGATACAAACATTGACGTCAGAACAACTGTTGAAGTTTGTCATGAGCCTGGAACGGAATCGGACACAATTGTTCTCCGACATTATCAGGTTGGCCATTAGTTAAGCTTAGAATACTGCGAACAAAGCAAAACATTTCCCCATCACGTGTCGAATGAAGCCTTCCCCACCAAGACATTATCTCCCTGATTCTTTCTGGATTGTCAATGCACGTCCGTGTTGGGTTGCAAAGCTTCCAAGGTTCTAACCTGCTGCAAGACTATCTATCCTGGTCATAATGCCCCACTATAATCTCAGCGACTCATTGGATCAGCTGCGCCGCATCGATGCAGTTCTCATGCTTGGCACGTGGCGGGGTCACTCTATACATAGTCACCAGAAGTCTTGGTTGCGGCGTAAGCTGGATCCTTCGGTTCTCGTGGGGGCGAGGTTAGATATGATGTGGATTCGACGGTGTGCCTCAGCGAGATGTAAGCGACCTTTTTTTCGGACACCGAAGTAAGGATACATGCTTGCTTGATACAGAGGACGCCTGCATACATCCATCTGATTGAGCTTGGAATATAGTTAGGTCAGAGATGCTACCCAGTGCAATTGACCCGCTTTCTTCATACTTCGATACGTATTGACTCACTGGAGAAACATTTTCCGAGATCATTGATCTAATCGATATACTGTCCATGTCAAAAGACGTGTCTTGGGAAAGATGAGTGTTAATCGCGCAGTAACTACTTACCTAGGTATGCACTGTGATTCATGCTGCTGATATGCCTCCGCGGAGCTACATACAACGATCTGCGGAGTATGCTGCAGCCACAAGGACTAGCGTATGTTGGTTTCGTCAATTCCACATACTGTATGGTTTCGGGCTCTCAGCTCATCCTCTGCTGGTATGCACAAAAACGCCTGAGTTTAGCGTATTCTCATGATCAAGCCGTGTTAGACGAAGTCCGCGTGGCTATTAGAATATGCATGTGCTATTGCGTTCCACAAATATATGAGAACAATGCCCAGGAACCGCGCTGCTGGAAACATATGCAGCTGAAAGGCGTAGCCTCAAATCCCTGGAACTTCCAGTCCCTTGAAAATGCTGTTCGCACGCGTTGGTTCTTTGATTTTGAACGCACTCTTCTTCACTCTCATCACCGCTAAAGCAATGGCTTCCCACAAGCCCACCATCGTTATCGTCTCTGGCGCTTGGCACGTCCCAGAGTCTTACTCTAAACTCACCAAGGCTTTGAAGAAGGCCGGATATGAGGTCCACGTACCTCGGCTACCTTCTATGAACGAAGCTCGACCACCAACTGCCAATCTTGAGTCGGACACGGAATTCATGCGGGACTTCATCAAGGGGCTTATCGACAAGGGTCAAACCATCGCTGCGTTGATGCATTCCTATGGCGGACAAGTTGGCACGAACGCGTTGTACGATCTGGGACTAAACAACAGATCTGCTGGCGTCTCACAGCTCATTTACATGACCGCCTTTGCCCAGGAAGCAGGATGGTCTATGATTGATAAGGTGGAGGAATTCGGCCAAGGAGATCTCATTCCACTCGCCTTCGACTTCGCCGACGACAAAACGGTGGTCAGTCGTGACCCTAAGACCTTGTTGGTTGGGAACACCACGCTCCCTGAATCTGATGTGGATGCATACCTCAACACTCTGGTTCGTTGGAATGGCCAGTGCATGTACGATCGCATCACGAAGACCGCCTGGAAAGACATACCTGTGAGCTATATTCATACAACTCAAGACATGACCGTACCGTTCGATTATCAGAAGTCGATGGTGGAGATCATGAGGAAAGCTGGTCGGGAAGTGCGCACTTTCGAGGTCGAAAGTGGTCACTGTCCCAACTTCACAGCCACTTCTGACATTGTCAAGGCGGTGGAAGAAATTCTTGGTGGTTCAAAGTAGTATAGACTTCGCCTTGTGTCTAGATCAAATATAGACCCCGGGAGCTCTCACAGCCTCCGATAGTCGATGCAATGATCTACAAGAAAATCAAGTTTGATAGAATGCATTGTTTACAGTCCTGATTGTGAGAAGCTTATGTGAGCCTTGCGTGCCCCTTAGATCCAGTGGAAGTCAGCACCCAAAACTACTGCATCCGAAATTCTCCAAATAATTACGTCGCCGCAGCAAATTCCGATCGAGGAAAACTATCGCAGTAGACAAGACGTCAACAACTGCATATAAGAACTGCGTTGATTGTCCTACGGAGTAGATACACAAGGTTATATACATAAGATATGCGTAAGCACATAACGGCAAAGGAGTGAAAGTGAAGGTTGTAGAACATTCGGCCAAGAAGCATCGGGCCGATTCCAAGAAGGGTAGTCCTGAATGGCAACAAAAACCACTCGCCGTAATTCGACTGTGTATACGCGATCACTCAGCGGGCAAACGATTGTCCTTCATTCAGAACATCAATACTTGCTTTACATTAGGCAGAAGTCGACAGAGCGGATCCGGCCACCTTAATGCGGTCAGTACTGCAGTCATCGTAAGTAGGCGCTTTACGAGCTAAATGTGGGTACCTAGGTAGGTATCGCCGTTCACTCTGAACAACAATGGCGCTAGTCGGGCAATATGGGGGCCTTTTGTACCAGGCTGTCGGTACTCAGCAAGGCTGAGGCGTAAGAGGGAGTGCATCCAACCACCCCACTTGAGTCAGCAGTGCAAGTAGTCATCATGCGGTACTATAACCGTAGACCCGATAGTACCCCGCGCCACCCGCCGACCCTTCCCCGCTTTGGCTAGGAAAGTAATCACGCTACCAATGCACGTACGTTCTCGTAATCCCTTGCATTACTGATAAGCCACACGGCTCGAGCTTATTGCCCGATTGCGCACTAGACTTCATCCTGCTTCCTGCCAATAATCGTCCATCTTGTGAAAGCCCAACACGCCCCATTTCTTGTCTCAACACCAACTTCCGACATCATCTGGGCCAAAGCCTTTGCGATCTCCGGCTTACCAGTCTGCCTGGCTATCAATTCGTGGATGGTGAGATTGCATTCATGCATTGCAAGTGCAAGATGAGGAGGAGCGTCACGCACGTCCGTATGCATCTGCTCCAGCCCCGCAAGCTCAAATGACCGCGCAAGACCGGGGACCCAGGTGGGTTTTAGTCTTGCGTCTTGACCTTGAGATAACGCCAAAAGACCGGTCAGTGCTTCTACCTTATTCGACGCCTCCGTCTTCTCGATTCGAAAAGATGCAACGTCAGGCTCGCCCCATTGTATGTAGCCGCCGGGCTCTGGCTTAACGTTAGCGGCGCCGGGACTTTGCAGGATGAAGGACTCACTGAGTAGAGCAATTAGCTTGTCAAGGATGCTTGGTATCTCCGCATCCTGCAATACAAAGGCGAAGTTGCGAATATGTACCAGATCGTAAGCACCAATAAGTTCCGCTGGTGCGGGTTCCTTGATATCCCAATTCCTCAAGGTAACATTGCGAGGCAGCCAGCTTGCTGGTGGGGCAGCATTGAAAGATACGTCTAGTCCGTCCAATTGAACATCGTGGGGAAGCCGAGCGCCAAGATCGGTAAGCCAGATACTTGATGTGTGTTAGCCGCACGGGTGTTGTATCGCACAATCCCGAGAGGCTTACGCTGTACCCGTCCCCACATCAGCTACGCGTAGCGGCTTACTCTCAGTGCTCGAGTGAGCTTTCTCCAACAGCCGGATGTTTGGATGCGTGAGATATCCGAATAGCTCTACCCAGAGGTAGTGTTGGAGGTTGATACTGAGAGTGTGAGTAAAGACCGTCTTGAAGTTCACACGAATAGTGATTACGGGAAACCATTAGACTAACCGGTTATTGTCGATATAATCCCGTGTAAATACGTAATCAGGATTTTCCGCCATGCTTGGTTGCTTTCACTCGGTATCCGAACGATGAAGAGGTGTGTGATCTCTGGGAATGAGGCGCGACATGAGCTTTAAATAGCGATATCTGCCCGGCAGCCAAGCTACAAGCCATTGGACTAATATTGCTTTGGATTACCACTATGACCTCGATTAGCGGCTCAATTAACCGTACAAAGTTTGATCGTGAATTCAAAACAACTGTCCCCACCGAAGAATCTGTCATCCAACCATCCATACGTCATACACGATGGGTTCGCCAACAGCCAGATACCTTATCGCTTCAGCTTCTGGAATCCTCAGTCACTGGACATATTTCATACATGGGGAACACGATCTTGCTGCTGCGCGTATCGCAACATGTCATTTATCTGCGTTCATATTTGTCGTTGCTACTGAATTGCAGCTTTACGATGTCTCCTTACGCAGCGCTGCGGAACGAGGACTGAATCTGGGCATTGCATACCTTGCAGGACTTTTCACAAGCATTATATTCTTCCGGCTGTTCTTATCGCCATTGCGTCACATAAATGGACCTCTAAGATTAAAGATTACAAAACTGACCCATGTGTGGGACATGGCCTTCAACCAAAATTGCAAACTGCTTGAAGAACTGAGGAAGCAATACGGCGACGTTGTTCGGACGGGTTAGTCTCACCACAATAGCTTATACCTCTGGCAAGGGCAAAAAGGCTGACTTCGGTTTCTTAGGTCCAAATGAAGTGACCATCTTTGGTGCAGAAGCTTTTCACAAAGTCCATGGCCCGGAGTCAACTTGCAGTCGCGCAGCCTATTACGACTTGCTTCATCCCATGGTATCACTTGACACCACTCGCGACAGCGCCATTCATAGTCATCGACGACGAATATGGGACCAAGCATTCAGCATTAAAGGTAAGCCAAGTACATGTCATCATGCTGCTCCTGCTGAAACCAAGATGAAGCCCTGGACACAGCAGTGCCCCTTGTATACGAGCATGCTGAGAAGCTCAATGCGGAGCTCGCCAAACGTACGAATGATCCCCTCGATATATCGGTATGGCTCGAATACTACACATTCGACCTCATGGGTCTCTTTGGTCTCACAGTAGATTTCGGAAACCTCACCAAAGGCGAACATCCCATCCTTGCATTGTATCATATGGCTCACAAGAAACTTGGCCCTTTGGCTGCAGCCCCTTGGATCAAACATCTTTTAATGGGTATTCCATACATCGAACGAATGAAATACTATAGGCAATTCATGGACTGGGCGCATGCTGAGTTGGAAAGGAACATCCAGGTGATTCCTTCAAACAAATCCAAGCGATGCAATGCTGACGTGATCTTCTAGATGAACAAAGAGGCCAGAAAAAATGTCATCGGCTACGTCGTTGATGACGCGATGTCGAACGGTGGGCTTCGAGCGAATTGGAACTTTGTCCTAGGTGACTTCATCCTAGTCATCGTTGCAGGCAGGTAAGATCTCGATTGCATTGACCTTTTTACTATCATAAGCTAAACAAGAGTCAGTGACCCGGTCCGTCAAGTTCTAGCAAACATGCTCTACTACCTCACCGTACACCCCGAACACCTCGCAACGATCCGCACGGAGTTAGCTACAATCGACCTGCACAACTACAAGGCTCTACAACAGTGCAGCCATTTGAATGCGTCGATATACGAAACTTTAAGGCTCAACCCTGCAGTTCCGTCGTCGGGTCTCAGACTGCCGCCAAAGGGCGGATTGGTAATTCAGGGTACCTTTATTCCGGAAGGAACGACAATAGTCACTCCACAGTACAGCATACTACGAGGTATGTCGAACGTCTCGCACTCGGATTTGAAGAAGAGGTAACTGAATTGATATGTTCTTTGTAGATGCACGTAATTTCTTGTCACCCGAAGCCTTTATACCCGAACGCTTCACCAGCAAGCCCGATTTGATCATCAATAAGCTTGCCTTCGTACCCTGGAGTACAGGTAAGAGGCCATCTCATCATACAGTAGCAATAAAGACTTTGAAGAACATGGCTGACCAGAGATCTGACAGGCAAGATGGCCTGTCTCGGGAAAAACCTGAGCTTGATGGAAATCCGTGTAGCGGCCGCGTTGTTGCTGACAAGCTTCGATTTCGATTTTGCGCCAGGGGAGGACGGCACAAGAATGTTTACAAAGGCGACGGACTACTTTACAACGACGCCTGGGCCACTGAACTTAGTTCTGAAGAACAGGATTCCGTAACAAGTACCCAGTCTGCCATAGGCAGCTTAGATAGATTCGAGAACAACCATTGGTGTACTGGTAAAAAATGGCTCGTTGACCGGTGTAGCTTGTCAGGCCGACTACCACGTTAACGGAAGATATTCATTTCGCTCCAGCTGTCGGATCGTGAGTATCGGTAGAGACGTCGGCTGCTGGACACTTCGGCCCGACTTCGGCCCACCTTGCGCAGAGCTTAGGTATACCTTCGTAGCAGCTGTGTTCGTAATAAATCAATAACCATCACCGAACAGAATGCATTCCTAGTTATCGTTATTTCCTTTCAGCACTAGTGCTATAGACCTTCCAACACTGATCAGTGATTGCTTAAGGCGATCACAGACAGCAAGGTAGAAGAGACAGACCGCATCTTCGACGAACTCCCTGACGCACGACGTTATACTCCCGGGAGAAGATTCTGTGCTAAGAACAGAGCGAGGCAGAGATAACACAAAGCACTCTTAACCTCCCTCTACAGCTGCTGGTTTAGCTTAATCCGCGAACACAGAGCGCGTCAGCAACGCAATACAACTCAACCGTACGAGCGTCTCCGGACGATCCGATCACGTACAACAACAAGCGCTGGCACGACCAACCAGCGAGACAACAACACCGACAACGCGTCAACACCCGCTAGCAAGATGGCGGATAACCAAAGCGAAATAAGCTCTGCAGACTCTGCTGAAGCTCAGAATCAACTACAGAATGAGCAATCAGAACACCTCTCAGACTCACCATGGGCCAAATTTACCGCGGAACAACTTATGGAAAACTGTCCATACACAGTTGCACTCAAGGTCATCAATACAGCTCTCTGGGGTGTACCCGCACCGGCGGACGCAAATGAGACACACGCAACAACGTGGGTCGCTAAGGCTATCCACGACTACAATGTGTCAATGGCCTGGGACGATGACCTCTTCATTGACTACAAATGGGACTTTGAAGGATGGACGAAGGAGCTATTTAGCAAGGTTGAGCGTGGTACACTAAGGTCTCTTAAGAGTGTGCTACGACACCGGGGAGTATACACTGGCAACAATCACGCCAGGGTGGCGGACTCTCTCTACAACATTCTAGGTATAGAGAATACTCTTGAATGGGAACCAGCAGAGTTTCGAGCCATGAAATTCGACCAACAGTCCGAAGCGTACCAGCGCCAGCAGAGCAATAAACGCCAACAGGACACTCAGCACACAGTCTATCCAGCTGTACAACAACCACCGCAAGTACAACAACCGCCGCAATTACAACAACCGCCGCAATTACAACAGCCACCGCAAGTACCACAGCCGTCGCAATTACAACGACCGTCGCAGGGCGAGCAACAAGAGCAGTATAGAGTGAGACAAGGCGTCCAGAGCCGTTCCCAAACAATAGAGCCACAACAGCCGCTACACATGAGCGGTACGCTGGAAGGGCCTCAGCATCGACAACTGTGGGAGCAGGCCGCGCAGCCGCAACAAGGGCGTGCGCAACTACAGACACGGCCGCCAGCGACTGCATATCGCGAAGTCACGCCATTTCCGCAACAGCCAACGAACCGCGTCCCTAACAGACCACCCGAACTACCATACGACCCGTACAAGACGCTACCGCCGCGATGGTCCCGCAACGATCGACTCGACGCTAATACGATCACGCAGTTCTCTAAGCTATGGGACAATAGCAACAAGTATACAGGGAATGCGTACGATCTCCTAGACGATAAGATCAAGATCTTCTTCAGCATCTGCTGGCAGGTAGATATCCAAGAAGAGCAGTTTCACGCAGTGTTTCCCCGTATCCTTACCGGACGTGCAGAGACATTCTACATACAGGTTGTAGAGAGAGATGACAGCTTTGCTGATGCGTACATGGCAATCAAAAACCACTTCGACCATGACGTCCATCACCAGCACTACTACACAGACTGGACGACTACAACCTTCGCTCGCACCCGCACAGAGAACCCCGACAAGGGACTACACGAGGTTCTGCAGATCCTGCTTGACAAGCTGCAGCTATGCCAGCGTGCCCTTGGCAAGAACTTTGAGGGCGAGGATGCCCTACGTACCACTGTCATCAATGCCTGCCGAGGAGTACCAGAGCTTGAGATGGCACTGTTCAAACCAGCCACAATCTGTGAAGGACTCTTCTCAGACCTACGTTCTGCAGTTGAGACACACCTTGCACGGCAACACACTGCCCAGATGGTCACAGAGGACCAATATTACTTAGATCGCCGATACAACGGCAATAGAAGAATCCGAGGTGGATCTCGAGGTGGAGGAGGATTCAGAGGCGGATCCAGAGGAGCATATCGAGGAGGCGAGCAGCGCGACGACAACGGACGAGGATTCAAGCCACGCTGGAGGAAGAAATGCTTTGTTTGCCAGAAGGAAGGATGCTGGTCTACCAACCACACAGACGAAGAGCGCAAGGCTGCCCGTACACAGTTCTTCTCTACGCTATACTTTACAGGTACACAGCCCCCCAAGGACTTCTCCGTACATCTTGCAGAATACGAAGGGATCGAGCACACTAGCCAGTACAATCAGAGAGGCTGGAGAGAGGAGGAAGACTGCGAGGATGACGACGATGACGACGTCGCGGAAGCATACCTTGAACAGCAGTTTTTCACGGAGCAATGCCTTGCAGATCAGGCGTTCTTGCACCACATCTCTGGCGACGACGTATACCGCCAAGACGCGCCATCAGCGCCAGCGTCACAGTTCCTGCTTGAAGACCGCTACACAAGATCTGTGTACCAAGGGATCCTACCGGATACAGGCGCTGCCAACGTATCCACAGTTGGCAAGGAGCAGTACCTTGCACTCACAAGGGAAGATCCTACAGTTAGGATGGATACGTCTACAGCAGGAAAGGCATCTATCAAATTCGGCAAGGGCGAGGCTACATCATCTATTGGCACTGCACAGGTCTCTACAGACATTGGGACGATCAACTTTGAGGTGCTTGACGCACCTACACCATTCTTATTGTGCCTTGCAGACATGGACAGGTTAAAGGTCTACTTTAACAACACCACAGATGAGCTAGTCCAGGGTGACGTACACATCCCTGTAATTCGCAAATGGGGACATCCTTGGTTCCATCTGAACAAAAGAGAGAGAGCAACTGTGTTCTTGACAGAGACAGTATTGCGACGGCTCCATCGACGATTTGGACACCCAGCTGTCACGCGACTTGTTAAGCTCTTAAAGGATGCTGGCCATAACGACTTCGAAGAAAGAACCCTAGAAGAAGTCACTAAGTTCTGCCACCACTGCCAGCTCCACAGCTCCGCACCGCGCCGATTCAAATTCACTCTCAAGGATGATCACCACTTCAACTATGAGATCCTGGTGGATGTGATGTACCTGAGCAACAAACCTGTACTGCATGTGGTCGATTCCTCAACAGCGTTTCAAGGCGCGAGGTTCCTTAGCGCTATCTCAGCTAAAGAAACATGGCAAGCACTGCGGATACTATGGATCGACACGTATCAAGGACCACCAGACATTATCACGCATGACGCAGGCACTAACTTTGCAAGCACAGAGTTCCGCGCAGAAGCAAAGATCATGGGAGTCACATGCAAGCAAGTACCTACGGAGGCGCACTGGTCTATCGGCAAAACTGAGAGGTACCATGCACCTCTACGCCGCGCATGGGACATACTCTATGCAGAACTCACTGACACTATGTCCGACGACGCGATTCTCCAGATGGCTGTGAAGGCTGTCAACGATACTGCTGGCCCCGATGGACTAGTCCCGACGCTACTGGTCTTTGGAGCGTACCCACGAATGACTGCAGAGTCACCGCCATCCCCGTCAATGGTCAAGCGCAGCGAGGCTATTCAAAAGGCGACGAAAGCCCTACGCAAGATCACGGCAGAGCACCAAGTTGCAGACGCCTTGAACACCCGCAATGGACCAGCCACTGCAGACATGCTCGCGCTCCCACTCCAGAGCGAAGTCTTAGTATGGAGAGAGAGTGATGGCTGGAATGGCCCGTACAAGATCGCCAGTACAGATGGCCACAACGTCACTGTTGACATGGTCAATGGTCCAACGACATTCAGATCCACTGTCGTCAAGCCATACTACAGACCGGACCACCTTTGGAGCGACCCCGATGCGCCACACGCGCCGAATGAGCCGCATGAGCCGGTAGCAGTACCACCGGCAGTGCAACCACGCAGGAGAGGCCGCCCTCCAGGGTCAAAGAACAAGCGGAAGGCGCACGCGTACATCACCAAGAAGGAGCAGGACGATCTTGAGCTAGCTATCAAGCTACGAAACGATGGAGTGATCACAACCTCAGGCGCCCCCTTTGAAGCGTCTGATGACCAAGAGATCAGCGACCTCGTAGGTCGTGGAGTCTTTAAATTTGAGCAATACGACGAGAGGCTACACAGCAAGATCCGGATCTTCAAGTCACGCCTAGTACGTGAGGTCAAGGGAAAGACAACCAAGCCCTATGAGAAATCCCGCCTAGTTATCCAAGGCTACCAGGACCACGGCAAGGAGACTATTCTGACGCAATCTCCAACCATACAGCGATGTAGCCAGCGCCTGATTATGTCGCTGGCGCCCGAGATGGTACAACGCGGAATGAACATCGAGCTCCGTGACATTACGCAGGCGTATCCCCAGGCGCAGACAGCCCTGAAGAGGACGATACTCGCACATCTTCCTACTGAGCTAGTCCATCGATATCCAGAAGGCACGCTACTCCATGTGATCAAGCCGCTGTATGGAATCGCTGAGGCAGGAGTCCACTGGTGGACAACGTATCACGGACACCATTGCAAGGAACTGGACATGGCAACATCGACGTACGACCCATGCCTATTGATCACGAACAGAGACGACGCAGGCATCTTCGGCATCGTTGGCATGCAGACAGACGACACTCTCATGCTCGGGACACCAGCGTTCTCGTCACGTGAAGAGAAGAAGATCCAGAAGGCAGAGTTCAGGTCAAAGCCAAAAGCAAGGCTGACACCAGAAGTGCAGTTAGACTTCAATGGATGTACACTCACGATGGACGCCAGCAGAGTCTTGACCCTTAGGCAGAAAGGACAAGGAGGAAGGATCAGGCTTGTGGATATCAGGGCACCCGACCGCGCGCAACAGTACACCGAGCAGCGCGCCCGCGGAGCGTACATCGCATCAACATGCCAACCAGAGGCGTCATTTGACCTGTCCGTCGCTGCTCAAGCTCAGCAACCATCAGACGAGGACATCAAGGCACTCAACAAACGCCTGAAATGGCAGATGGAGAATCTCGATCGTGGCCTGCACTACGTCACTGTCAATCTTATGGAGGCCAAGTTGATGGTCTTTGTGGATGGCTCCTTTGCCAACAACAAGGACCTCAGCTCACAGCTAGGCTTTGTCCTTATGCTCGTCAACGAGTCTATTGACGTCAACACCTTCACAATACAGGGCAACGTGATCCACTACAGCTCTACAAAATGCAAGCGCATCACACGGAGCGTACTGGCCTCAGAGATCTACGGCATGGTCAACGGCTTTGACATAGGCATTGCAGTTGCAACCACGCTGAGGATAGTTACAGAACGACTTAGACTACCTGCAATTCCCTTGGTTATCTGTACAGACTCGTACTCCTTGTACGAGTGCCTAGTAAAGCTTGGGACGACGAAGGAAAAGCGTCTCATGATTGACATCATGGCGCTGCGCCAATCATATGAGCGTCGCGAGATCACGGAGATCCGCTGGATCAATGGTGAAGACAATCCTGCAGACGCCTTCATCAAGGCATCGCCAAACCGCGCTCTTGAACGCTTTATTGACGGCAATAAGCTGACAGTCCGAGTAGAGGCACAGTCCGCAACAATCAATTAAGTGGGTCCTAGAAGGTTCAGATTGGATTGATTGATTGCCGCTTTAAGCCTAGTAGTTACCTATAGGAGTTTAAGCCCTACCTAGATAGGTAAGTGGGTCTAGGAGAGTGACCGGATTGAATTGATTGTTGCGGAGTCTAAGTAGAGGGATGGGTGCAGAGGCCGACAAGCTTTGATGGTTGATGCTACACACAGTTACCATCAACACATACTGTCACTACCGATACAAGCAGAGTTACTAGCTACCCAGAAAGAAAAGACTTCCAGTGTCGGATCGTGAGTATCGGTAGAGACGTCGGCTGCTGGACACTTCGGCCCGACTTCGGCCCACCTTGCGCAGAGCTTAGGTATACCTTCGTAGCAGCTGTGTTCGTAATAAATCAATAACCATCACCGAACAGAATGCATTCCTAGTTATCGTTATTTCCTTTCAGCACTAGTGCTATAGACCTTCCAACACCAGCGGCTATTTCATCGTGTAATTTCACAACCTTGCACACCTCCATCCACCATAACTTCCTGGTGAACTGTATCGACCACAATGGCCACCACAAATGGGTTGGACGGAATATTCGGCTATATGCCATTTGATCATTTCCCTGTGGTACGCGTGGTCCCTGAGGTCATTGTAATACCCTGTGTCGGCTGCTATCTAATATAATTGATAGGAATGGCTGGCGTTGCGCAAAGGAAAACTGGGATACAGAATCTTCACTTAACCAAGAGGCGCAAGAAGAAAGTCTTGTGGATACGTGAATTAGCCTTGGTAGACACGGTCGTTCTGTACGATTATTTCTGGACTGAAACTCCCGCACTAACAGAACTTTCCTATCAGACCTACATCGACCGGTGTATGCAAGAAGGCCAAATCCCCATCCCGTCGCACCTTCCTACATCTTTATCCACATTCTCCAAGCGCATAAGACTCCACACAGATGGACGAGATAGTACAAGTGCCATTTGGATCCCAACAAGGTATGGTAACGAAATGGACAATTCTGGCTCGTCGCCAATCATACGCTTTGTGCTGACGCCGCGTATGCCCGTTTATGGCGGAAAGCCCTGCGGCACCCCTGGAATGCACGGATTCGACGACATGATGAAAATGGTACCATGGTACAGTCAACCGCATCGGGACGACCCCCAAAACCACCGCTCCCAAACGATAACAAACGATGATAGGGAACTACTTTGATATCGCTACCTAACAGAAATTTGACGACATGATGTTCGGTGCCTACGTCTTCGACGACAACGCTGCTACATACGGCGTCACAGCACGCGATGCAGATTATGAAGTGGAGCTGATGGACGGACTCCCGGCTTTCATCTTGAACGCGCTGATGCAGTGCCCTGACGTGATGGAAGGCAGCAGACATTGCGATGCGGAAGAGACTGAGGAACAGACGTGGGAGCAAGCGTTGCTCGTGGTGGTTGTGGACGGTGAGGCATGTGAGGATGGGTAGATGTTGCTGGTGGCGGTCAATGACAGGGGCCGGGTGTTATATAAGCGTCGCAGGGGCAAGTCGGTTGATGTTGGACTTAACGTAGTGCTCTAGAGCGATGGGGATCAGCCGCTGGATATTGATATGGGGACAGAGAATGTGGTGGAGTATGAGAATTCTAATCGGTCAGGGAGTAGGTGGGATGACGGGTAAAACATAGTCGACGTATGGTGGTAGTGGACTGGTTGGAGTGGAAGCACCCGGGCTTGAGTATGTATTATCTGAAGTAGAAGTGTAAAGTGTCAAATGGAATAAATTCTCGTAATTTCACAAGCCAGCTAGGGTGTATCTTTGCGATGATTACATGCTGAGCAATTAAACGGGTCAGACATACATTTAGTCGTTCTTTTTACCAATAAAGCCGCCATGTCTGAGTCCATACGCGCTTACCACAACGACGACTACCGTACCAGCGAAGATTGTCCAAAAGGCGGCGCGATAACCTTTCATCAACGCGTCCTGCTCTCTCTCGGAGGCTGAATGTTCGGTGATACTCGCAGCGATAGCGGCGGTGACAGCGAGACCAACGGAGTTTCCGAACTGGCTGACCTCATTGAACACACCTCCAGCCAGCGATTGTACCTCTGGGGGGAAGGCGTCCGAGATGACGAGGTTCGATACCGTAAACAAGACTGGATATTCATTAGTGCCATTGTCAGTAAGCAAAATCAGGGGTTTCTGAAGTACCGTCAGGATTGACTGGTGATAGGAACAGCGCCCAAAAGGGTGCAAGCCAGTAGTTCTCGCCAATGTCCACCGTAGCCATCAATGGCGGTGCTACCATGGTGATCAAAGCAGAGACTACAGCCAGGTATTGTATTTTCACTCGCGCAACGAGATAGGCAGTCACGATGTTTGTTGCAACTCCCATGACGACGTGAGGAAGGAAGCGGATGGAACTTTGTAAGGCGGAGACACCCTCAACTTGTTGGAAACTAAGTCATGTTTTGTTAGCAATGGGAAAGTATCAGATGCGCGCTTTGACCGACTGTAACCTACTAGAGCGTTGTGAAATATTCGATACCGTTGAGAGATGCCCAGCAAAAGAAGACTGCGATACACACGGTTCTGAAGGAAGCTTGACTCCAGAGACGGTTGGGTATAAGAGCTGGCTTGCTTCGCGCAGTTTGATAATGCATCCAAAAAGGAAATGAGCCCAGGAGGAGGAGTGATACCACTAAGATGGCGATTGAAGGGGCGCTCTTGATGCTGGTGTAGGAAGAAGATGTAGTTGCCAGGACGTAGAACAACAGACCAAGTCCCGCGCTCATTATGATGGCTCCGAGCCAGTCTATATCCTCCAACAGCTGGCGCTTCCATGGCTTGTTCGAGGGGCGGGGAACCGATGGCAATGACCAGATGGCTGTGGTAGAAAGAAAAAAGCTAATGATCGTCATCATGTAGTAGGCCCATCTCCAGCCAACAGTATCCGTGAAGATGCCACCCAACACCAGGCCTAGAGCATAGCCTAGTGGTTGACCCATCCCATTCATGGCAAATGCCGTGTTGCGCCACTTGCCTTTTGGAAATGTGTTTGTGATGAGACTGACAGCCGTTGGTAGGCACATAGATATGGCGACACCTTGAAATGCACGGAACAAGATCAGTTGAATGCCGGTCTGCGCAAATCCTATGGCAAGCGTAAAGGCAGTGTAAAGAAACGCGCCCGTGACCCAAACTAGCTTTGTACCTATTGCATCTGCGGTCGCGCCAAAGATGAGCAATAGACATCCTGCTGCCAAGGCGTATACTACGGCAGGCCAAAGGATAAGTCCTTGGGGGAGGCCCAGGTCCTGGGCGATCCTGGGAAGGGCAGCGATAAGAATGCCAGATCCCATAGTGTTTAAGAAACTGATTCCAGCCAGAGTGGCAATCTCTATGACAGATTGGAGTCGCGACACTTTGCGCGCAGGGCCAGGTGATGGCTCAGCACTCTCCGAAGAATGGCAATCATCGGCGTTGAAACTTTTTGCAGCAGTTGTTGCCAACGGCGTCTCATCAGCTTGCGTAGCTAGACCTTGTAACTCGATACTGATGCGCTCAGAGGTGGCACCGTGCGAAGGGGTCGCTCGACGGAACAAAGGATCATCTGTCATAGTTTTTGAGGCCTGCATGCTGACAGACCCTTTGCGACGAACAAAGGGGATGGAAGTGTAGAGAGACAAATGCCAGGTTGGCCGATGGCCTAGCTATGGCAAAAGAGAGACACAGCATGTGAAATGAGAAGGTGGCTGTCCTTCACCCACCTTGCCAAGACATCCTTGGATGAATACTGAAGCAGGGATTGGGCGCGAAGCGAAATTGCGGACAGCTTCGCCGCAGATAGCGCACGAGAACCCAGGCCGCTTGCGGGGGAACAACGACTGTTTTGACGCCTCTATGCAAGCAGTGGGAGAGATGGAGGGGCGCCCTCGGTTCCCGAGGTGGTTTAGACGGATGACTAATGATTAACACGTGCCATGAGGCCAAGGTTGGCGCTTCGCGGCATAGGTACAATGCGGGAGCAACGTTGCCGCCACTCCGCGCGGCACGACCATGACCATGATCGATTCAGATCATCGTACATATGCGACACAACGATGACTCTAAGCCTCATTACAATTGCGTTATTCTCAGATTTCCAAGACGCGCTATTGGCTCGCGGCACGCCACACTCGGGAAAGGTGCTGCATCTTTCCAGCCCAAAGTGATCTCAAATCGAGCATACAGGCTGTTTTCTTTGACAAAGATGAAGGTACAGCGTTGAGCTGAACTTGCAACTCACGCAGGCTTCATTCCGTGGCCGACGGCTTCGCCCCATCCTGCCAATTAGACGCCCTTCATTTCATGTACCGGCATGCGAAATCGTGCCGTTCCATGTCATGCCACGGCTTTCCCATCGAGATCCTCAACTGTATGACGTCATCTCCTCAAAGTAACACCAAGTCCCCCGCGGAAAAAGCAACGAGTCCTTAGTGAGATAGCGTTTCAAAACAACAAAGATGTCGCTTTGTTCCCACTGAGGACGATACTACTACTGAAGAGAGGAGATGCTGAGAGATCCCGATGCATCGATGGGTGCAGGGCGTGGTACACAATTCCATGATGAACCTTGATGGATCGATGCGCGTTGTCGAGAATTCCATGGCGATCCTGATGAATCCATGGCCGTCGTGAACAATACTATGCTTAGCCGTGTACGGACCGACTGCCCCCCCAGTAAGAAGGCTTGGGTGGCATTCTAAGTCATCTCGCCCTCGCTATCTGAATTAGGTAACCTCGCACGACAACACGGGATTGAGTAACCAACAGTCCACATCACGTCAGAAACAGCCACATGGCAACGCCAAAACTAAGCAACCATCTATGAATCGATCAATTGACGATGGTGCGATCCAAGATTTGTTTCGATCTGTATTATTATTATTATTATTCCATTAGAGTCCTTTTTCAGTCAGAGACTATGTAGGACTTTGGCCGAAGGCCGTTCTATCTTGGTTTTTCTAATTTACATGATTTTCTGGTATGGTTCGCTGATATGGTTTTTGGCTTTTCTACAAGAGATAGCTTGTGTCTGTTTGTTGCCAGGTGCTAAAGAGCAGTTTGATGAGTAGAAAGAGATGTAGCAGCGGGCTCTTATGGCAAAGGAGAGGGTTGTGGTTTTTAGTTTTATACAGTGTCTCTCTGTAGGTCTTCTGGTGGCTGTCCTAAGTACTATTTTCTTGTTCCTATTCTAGTGCTAGTGATGAAAGCTAGGGTTGCTTCTATACCTGTACTAGTGTGGAGTAGTAGCGGTAGTGTGACTGGGCGATGTTTGATTGTTTGTAGGAGCGCTTTCCGTTGGTCTTTGTATAGGTGGCAATAAAGTAGTAGGTGTTCTGGCGTTTGAGTATTTTGGCAGGTGCAAAGATTAGAGTCTCGTTTCTTGACTCTCTTTAGGTAGGAGTTGAAGTATCCGTGTCCTAGCTTAAGAGAGTAGAAGGCGCTAGAGATTAATCTTTTCGTGTTCGGTGGCATTTGGATGGTTTTCCTGATTTTAAGAGGGTATTTTGCTGAGTAGGTAGCTTTGTTTAGAGCGGTTGCTCTTGCTTTGTATTTCTCGTACTCTTGACGTTGCTCAGTTTGTTGTATCTTATTGGTTATCGTGCCTAGGTAGGCAATGCTCTTTGTTGTTAATCTGGGGTCCTCTTTGGTTGCTTCTTTTGCTAGGTGGTCTGCTCTTTCGTTTCCAACTATATCTGTGTGTCCAGGTGCCCAGAGTAGGTGGATATTTGCTTGTTTTTGTCGGATTGTATTTGCCGCTTTTAGGCACCGGAGTTGCCATTGCTGTCCTGGGTTATCTGATAGGTTTTTGAGCCTATAGATTGCTGCTTGGTTATCTGCGTAGACCTCAAATTCCTGGTTGGTTGTAGCGTTCTTGGCTGCGTATTCAAATGCTCGTGTAATCCCTTCTAGTTCGCCGTTGTAGACTAGCTGGTATTGTCCAATATTGACTGTTTCTGAGTAGATCTCTTGCTGGGTTGAGTTGTAGACTGCTATCCCAACTCCTATTCCTTTTCCTTCTTGTGTTTGCGAGGCGTCTGAGTATATGTTTCGATCTGTATGTTGGATACTGAACAGCCTAATAGCATGCCTTCCAACGAGCAAGTCAACCCGTTCACCTTCACTGACCATTTGCTTTACCAAGTATGGTCCAAGCCACGGCTAGGCTCAAACACGTAATCGATCAAGTCAATGTGGGATATTCTGTGACCTAACCACTTGCTTGTCTGAAGTTCTGCCAAGTACATCGACGATATCGCGTCTCGCCCCATACGACAGAGCATGTGGTAGTGCTACAGAAAGTTATAAGGTAAAGCTAGTACTAGATAGACTCCAAGAGTCAGTATGTTACATGAATCACTGAAAGCCAGTATTTCTACTTCCTGAATCTTCCACTACAACATTATTTGGTCCTCTTGAATATGATACTAAATGCTGGAAGTTGGACTAGGTAATTTCTGGGCAATACGTCATGGACTGTTGTTGCAGTACAATGCAGTCAATTAAAGTGTAATGTTGGATCGGAGGAGAGATGAGAGAGAAGGTTGGTTTATTGAGAGAGTTGCAGAGAGCGACTATATACATGAAGTAGAGTATCTGGAGCATTCCAGATCAGCAGTGTGTTACGTAGCTGTGACGATAGTAGAACATTCTAGTTGACACACCCCCTGAGGGCTGACATGTAACCGCGCGAGGCAGTCATCAGAGTATATTGTGTTCTGTTGTTGTTGTGCTGTCATGGCCACTTTATATGTAGCCATAATCAGGGTCTATTTACATGACGTATCTCTGATGCTGGTGAGGGGAGAAGGTGCTCATGGAGGGGAGGGAGGAGCGCTAGGACAACGCACGTGACATGCGCAATACCCTTGCCTCACAAACCGCAACAACTGTAGGGCTGCAGATACCCCTGATATGTCCCATCGTATGTGGAAACAGGCGGTAGATTGATCATATGTATGATGAAGCTGACATGCAGTGTCTCACTCGTGTCAGCTTAACGAAACAAGGAATTTGATCGAGACAGAAATGCGATCTTGTAACGGTGTGAGGAGAGGAGGAGGACTGCGTTGCATTGTGTAGCTATGGAGGAACTGCAGCTATATAGGTGTGTGTGATGAGAAAGTGTGGTAGCGATAGCCGTACCCAACTCTCACCCAAGTCGGTCTTGGCAAGTCCCAAACCGTTACAGATCTTGCTGCCTTGGCAAGAGGCATAGCATTGGGCGCACTGAGTACTGAACGCCTCGTTCATAGGAAAGACTATAAAGATACTTAGGAACCGAACCTCGCAAGTCATCCAAGCATAGTGTGCCTTCATTTGATCACAATCGAACCTCAATCTCAGCCCTGTACGATCGAAACCCGGAAAAAATGTCCCTGCAGAAAGTTATCGTTGTTGGTGGAGGTCCTGTTGGAGCTCTTTCTGCTTTGTACGCAGCAAGACGAGGATACGAAGTTGAACTGTACGACCTGAGAGATGGTGAGATCTCTCCTAAGCGCGGATACGAGTTGCATGAAGCTGACCTACTTCTAAGATCCCAACTACGGAGACCCAAATGCACGACCCGATATCGCAGTCATACCCCTCGCTCTTTCAGAAAGAGGCATACGGGCCATCGAGGGCGCTGGCGTGCCTGGTCTCCTTGATGAGATATTGGCGAATTTGAGACCCATCTACACCCGGTTGATCCATGTGCGGAACAAAAGCGGAAGTCACAAGACCATTCCAATGATATATGGCCCTCAAGGACAATTAAGTTGGGGAGACTTGCTCGAAGAGTACAGTAGTGGTACTGATCAAACCAGTGTCTACACACATTGCCGAGAGAGAAAATAACAAAGCATGTCATGTTAGCCCTGATGAAAGAGCCTACAGCAAAGCTCTTTTTCAACCATCGAATATCCTCATGCGACTTTGAGAAGAAAGTCGCTACCTTCGACACCATGATCTGGAAGGGGAATGCTGAGGTGACTAGGAAGGACTTAACACACGTGGCAGAGGATGAACCGAGAGTTAACAACACCTCGGGCGAGGAGAAAAAGTCTCCATCAGTAAAAGAAATCTCTATTTCGAGCACTAGAACTGTCAACTTCGACTTTCTCATCGGCGCTGATGGGACTTACTCAACAGTCCGACAGTTCATGATGCGAAAGCTTCACATGGACTTTTCTCAGCAGTATCTCGATGCGCTCTGGTGTGACTTCTTTTTTCCACCGGCAGACGATGGAAGCTACCGCATGAACTCGACAGGTCTGCTCGTATGGCCCGCAGACGAGAGCATCATCATGTGCCAGCCTGACTTTGTAAGTTATCCCGACGTCGCGCACCAACGTACAAACACAACACTGACACACGTGTCCAGGATGGCTCTTTCCGGGCAGGAATGGTATGCGCGACAGACAAGGTCCGGCACTACGAAGCGCATCCTGAGGAATTTGCCGACTTCTTCGACCAGAAATTTCCGGGAATCGTCGGACCACTTCTCTCGAAAGAAGACATCACAAGCCAGTTTGTCAAGAACCTAAAGATACCACTCAAGTCAGTAAAGACTGGAAAACTTGGTTACAAAGACAACGCCGTGCTGCTGGGCGATAGCTCGCATACCATGACTCCCTTCCATGCCATGGGAATGATCACTGGCCTTGAGGATGTTCGCATCTTCTTTCAGGATTTCCGAGATCCTCGTGTCGCTGCTGCTCAGTCTTCAGGATCGACCGAGCCGTTGCCCTTCTGCGTTCCGGGCACTGTTCAGGCATACTCTGAATTTCGACTGCCCGACGTCCACGCAATGGTAGATATGGCAGCGTCTCACTACCATGAACTGAGAATTGGCGTTCGGTCTGCTTCGGCGAGAGCCAAGAAGATCATTGAGGCGTGGTTGAGCCGCTAGGCCCCCTCGTTGGATTAGACAACTACTTATGCGAGGATTCAGTTTGGGCACGAGAGGTTCACGGCAATTCGAGAGAAGGACGCGCGGCAGATCAGCATTGTGAGTGCGGTTCTTACCGGGTCGGCATGTGTTATGGGGGGCGGAGCTCTAGCTTGGATGCTCAAATTCTGACTCCCTCAAAACTTTGGGGTTTTCAGGTAGGTTCTCAATGGTAAAAAATCATTGTATGCAGCATCTTCGCAGTACTAGGTAGCTCGAATATCTACTAGTCAGTTGTTTGGTTTGACTTGACCTTCCAATATCTTTGTGTAGCTTCCCTCCGTGTCATGGCGGCTGTCACTATGTATGATACGCTGGAGGAAGACAGTGTTCGGCACAAGCCGCGATCCCAGTGTGAACTTTTCCTTCTCCAATGTGTGACCGTTCCTCCTATCGCTGATGAGTCTGCGATATACCGAAAAATTGCCTATGCGTCTCAAGTGCGCTTCAGCGACTACGGTCATCATCCAAACACGTTGCCGGCTTTCGTCCCGGTGGCTTTAGTTTCGCATCATCTACTTTTCTTGCTAGAGAAAACTGGGTAAGGAAATCGCGATCATAAAGCCATCTCGTCACCGCATGTAAGCCTACCTCTGTTGATACTAGCTTCGTGAAATCGGTCGTCTCTGTCTCTGTTAGCGTCGTTGCCTGTCCTCTCATGGAGGACGATATAGAATGACTTGTTCTACACTCTGTCGCGGCCAACATAACTAACCATCAAACCGGTGGCTGCACTTAACTCCAATCACTCGCTCAACAGCTGAACCATCACTTCCTGCGGCAATCTAGTTGACTCCATCCGCGGTCCATTCCCATGAACCAACGTCGCTCTCAACAGCAACAAATCCCATATACCCAATATATCGCGTCGCGAGCAGTCTTACCAAATTCCAATAATGTACTCGACATGTCGTAGATGTCAGAAACACGCGTTTTTACCTGTTTTCTGAGTCGGCGCAATGTTGGGACGGGAGGTACCGCAGCAGCGCACGCGTCTAGTTAGGCCTGGAGTTGCGCAAAAACGTTGCAGTATGCGTGTGCGCTCAATGTGAAATTTGGGATTTTTGTTTGAGTGGGCGCTTAGGAGGAAAGTGCTTGAGGCTTTGTGGTACTGTTTAATACTCAAGAGTTGATGTGGGTGAGTTTGCGCTGTTTGCGGTGCCTGCGCGGTCGGTGGTCTGCTGGTCTGCAGGCGGCGTCGCCCACCCCAGCCTCCCCAGCCTCCGCCCTCGCGATGCCTGCCACAACCCTCGCGATACCGGCTACAACCCTAACGACACATGCAGCAGGACACTGGATGGTTTAGAAGTGGCAGCTGCAGCAGGTTGCATGCACCTCGCCCTGAGTAGAAAAGCCTAGCTGTTCGGGCGACGCAGTCAGGCACTTTCTGCACCAATCGGACCTCAGACCTCTCACTGGCAAACCAGCAATGATATATGTAAACAGGCTAATATTCATTCATGAAGAAGAACTATCTAACTCCTAAACTCCAACACAAAAGAAAATAAGGAAACTCGCGCTACACCGTCTATACTCTAAAACTACTCGCTGGGCTCCATGACGAATGCCGTGGATGAAACAACAGCGAGCATCAGAAGAAGAACATACAACCCCCAGTGAACCTCAAGTTTGTTGTTTGCGCGAGGAGATTCATACCGTGGTACGGTGAATGAGATCTGAACAGCAGACCCCAAAACCGCCGCTCCCAAGGCCTTGACCATTTGCCCAAACCGCGAATGATCTATGATCATCTCCACACTCAACTCCCCATAGCCCATTTGCTGTAGTCTGGTTACCAGAACCGCTGCTGTAACCAAATCGCCACCTAGTGCGAAGAAATCGCTGTGGTAATCCAACGCCATGGTCTGTTCTTCGGAAAGACCCAAGATCTCTCGCCACAGAGCTGGTAGTCTTGCCTTCTCTTTGGTTTTCTGTTGGAAGCCAATGATGCCGTTCATGTGGCCATTTGTGTAGCCATCGTGGCGAATGAGAGGCAAACGCAACCCACTTTCGTTCTCCAACACCTCTCCTACACTCTTGCTTTCGTCCTCACCAATAGCTGCAATCATCTCGCAGAGCGCATCCAGGACAGCTTCCCATTTATGCATCCCGATGATGACATTTGAGCAAATCATCGCCACCTCCATAGCGTCACTGCCGTCTTTCGGCGTGGTCTTGATCGCTACATCGGCTTCATCAGCTTCTGGACACCAAGCACCCACTTCGCCTGCTTCAGTTGTTTCGTCGATGTTTTGATGTTGGACGATACTGCTGAAGCGCGTGTGTTGTGGCCAGGAGGTGCAATCTCGGACGATCGTTCTTGTACCGAGGGTAGCCTCGAAGGGGTAACTAGAGGCGTGCTGGTTCTGGATCTGGCGCAGAAGACTGAGGATTGTGGCGGTGTTCTTGAGACTCACTCGGACAGGGATGACGTTGAGACAAGGACCCATGAGTGCCGTGAGGGATGGTGGCCGACCGGAGACAACGTGGCCGAACGTCACGTCATCTGACGAGGACAGGCTGGAAACCGTGAGAGACCAGGCGAGTTTCAAAATTGTGGCAAACGTTATGCCGTGTTTAGCTGTGATAGCTGACGGGGTGGGAATGGTTCTCGTCAACTGGGTGTTGTAGATGTTCTTGTACGATGGTGTTTCGTGCAGGTGCTGGACAAGCGAAGTCATGGTCGAGCCGTGGAGAAGAGATTGCCAGTACTCCGCAGCTTCTAGTTGTTTAGCTGGCGAAACTGCTTGCTCCTGGAAGTACGGTGCCATTGACGAGATTGGGCCCGCCTCTTGACATTCCAGCGCTGCTACCAACGAATTCAAAAGCTGCGGCAGACAAGAGCCGTCATACTGGGCATGGGAGATGCGCATGATGAGTCGGTATGAAGCCTTCGCACCAGCTTTGGCCACCACGAAAAACTTCAGCTGTGGATCGGCCATGATCACTGGACGCTCGGCGTCTTGTTTGCTGATCTGCATGGTCGATGATTCGATATCGTCTGCGGTCTCATGCCACTCAATCTCGTATGGGAGGTAACGAAGCACCGTCTGGACGATATCTGCTCCATGCACAGCGAATACCGTACGAAGAATCTCGTGCTGAGCCACGAATGCCTGGAGGGCAGGGTTGATGAGCTTGGTCTCCGCATCGCCATCACGGTCCAACCAAAGGTAGTTTCTGAACCCGCGAGTCTTCATCAAACCATGAGCCACGGCATTCTTCTGGAAGTCTGTTGCTGGAAGAACGTCGATGATGTTCTTCTCAGTAGTTTTGATTTGGGCCGCCAGCTCTTTTACCAGCTTGTGTTGTGGCTTGTCTGTGATAAGAGAGAATGGCTTGTAAGGCGCAGTATCATCGTGTTCCTCAGAGCGTGTGCGTCCGCCGATGACTTTGGCCATGTCTGAGAGTGCGGGGCTTTCGAAGAAGTCGGTGACTGACAGTTGAAGGCCTTGCTTCGCAGCTGTCGATACCAGCTTGATAGCAAGGATTGAGTCACCGCCGATCCGGAAGAATTGATCGTCAGTACCAATAGTCTCGGCGTCTACGCCCAAAGTCTGAGCCCAGAGATCACGGAGTGCAAATTCTGCTGAAGTTGACGGCTGTTGTTTCTTGTCTCCCAATGAGGTCTGTAGACCATACTCGAGAAGCTGCTCCCTCGTGAGGGACGAGACCAGTTCCTTGAGCTTGCGGCGATCCGTCTTGCCGTTCGTTGTTAGCGGTACCCGAGAAATGGGTATAAAGTAGTTTGGTAGCATGTAGTGTGGCAAGGCCCCTGAGAGCGATGTTTGCAGTGCCACGAGGTCTTCCTTGATAGGGTCCAATGAAAGAATATGAGTTTCTTCAGCTGCGATAGCGCTAGGTTGGAGGTATGCAATCAATGCAGTCCGGCTATCAAGACTTTCTGGGCGAGCCGAGTCGACAACAACATGTCCGAGTGTAGAGAGCCTTGCCCGGATGGCGTGTTCGATTTCGCCGGCCTCAACTCTCTGGCCGCGAATCTTCATCATGGTGTCTTTGCGTCCAACGAAATGAATCGTACCGTCTTCATTGTAACGGACTAGATCTCCAGTGCGGTAGAACCTCCTTGGTTTGTCGCCTGTCTTGGTCCAAGCAGGATCGGTAACGAACGCAGCGGCTGTCTTCTCTTCGTTATGCAGATAGCCTCTCGCAACGGTTGGTCCTTCCAGTATCAGCTCACCCGTGCAGCCAATAGGCACAAGCTTGTTGTGGTCCGAAGGATCCACGATCCAGTTCAAGACACCAATGGGAGAGCCGATATCAGCTGGATTGCTGGAAACTGTGGCGGGCGGTGCGCCTGAGGAGTAAACCGTCGTTTCGGCTGGTCCGTAGCACACAATAAGGTCCAGGATACTGTGCCATTTGGCGATGATGGCTCTAGTGCTAGCTTCACCACCAAGTACAAGTTTGCGAAGGCTGGGAATACCCTCAGCGGGCAGCAGTGAGGCGACTGTTGGAGTCAGGAAGGCCCAGTTGCACTGGAATCGATTGATGGCGCCTGCGAGATCGTTCAGACGCTCATTATCAGAAGGAACACAGATACAGCCACCCCTCTGAAGTGTGGTGAAGATGTCAGCTGCTGAGACATCGAACTGGTACGCAGCAAATTGAAGAAGGCGAGTCGAGGGTCCAATGTTCCAGGCTGTTCCATGGGCTTTGCTGCTGGAGCAAAGACTGCGATGTTCGATGACGATTCCTTTGGGGAGTCCAGTTGATCCAGAAGTAAAGAGGACATAGGCTGGGTTCTGGGGGCTGATGACAGGTAAAGCAGGGGTGCTGGTGAGTGGTAGGTTGGCGAAGTATTGCTCGTCAATAGCAATTGTCGTGAGGCCAGCTACGGTCTCGAATTTCTTTGCCAAATGAGAAGCTGTCAGCACGACCTTTGCGTCAGCATCTCGAAGAATGAGCTGAATACGGTCTAGCGGTTGAGCTGGATCCAGGTTGACGACGGCACCGCCTGCCTTCATGACCGAGAGTTGCGTGGCCACGGCCCACATAGATTTCTGGAAACAAAGCGGAACTAAGACTTCTGGTCCAATTCCGTGGTTCTGGTTTAGTCTCCCAGCCAATGCGGTCGACAATCGATCCAATTCGGCGTAGGTGAGCTTTCCGTCCCAAGCATCAACGGCAAGTGCATCAGGTCGTAGCTTGACTTGCTCTGCGAAGACCGCGGGCACATTTGTCTCGAGTATCTCTGGGTATGTGTTGTTCCAGTCCAGAATCTGAGTCATTTCGTCGGTGGTGAGCATAGTGATGTCTTCCATTTTCATCTTTTCTGTAGCTTGCTGGAAGCATGACACAATGTGCTCAAAGTGACGGAGCATCCTTTCCACCCGATTCTGTGGGACAATAGTCTGGTCGAATCGTGCTTCGACGTGAACATCCTTCTCATCAAGGCTGCACTCCCAGACCAGCGGGTATGTGTCGAAGTTCTTCAATGGAAGAGCCACTTCTTCCGCACCAAGTAGCTCTTCTGGCTGGATATCGAACCTCTGCGCCATGGGCTGTACGACAAAAAGGTTCTGGAACTGTACGGCTGCCGCAGTGTCTGCGTTGATGTTGGCAATGTTCCGCAGACCGAAGTGCTCGAAAGGCATCATGTCTGTCGTCTGGTCCTGCACTTCCTTCAGAAAAGCCCCGACAGTTACCTCTCCGGTAGGTATACCCATTCGAACAGGCACTGTGGTGATGGTAGGGCCAACGATCTCTGTGATGTCGTCAACTGGACAGCTACGACCCGAAAGGGTAGTTCCGAACACAACATCGTTGTCTTCACCGGCGTCAGAGTATTGGGCGAGCACATATGCCCATGCTGCTCTCAGCAGTGTCGCTGTTGGTACATCGACTTCTGATTGTAGCTGCATTGCGATTCGTTGATGTGCCACTCCATTAACTCGGTGACGATGAGTATGAGTAGCAGGAGGCGGTTCCGGGAAGGCAATGGTTGGCTTTCCGCCTGACAGCGAATTTTTCCAGTACGCGTGTGCTTCTTCATGTGTGGTGGAAGTAATGTATTTAACGAAGCTGTTGAAGCCGGGAACCCTTTTCGATATGCTGCTTGTGTAGTAAGCACGGACTTGATTGAGGATCAGTGGTAGAGTCCAGCCGTCGTAGATGGCGTGGTGTGCTGTCCAGACAAAGTGGCCATCTGCAGTGATGCCGTAGCGAGACAATGGCATCCCAAAGGTGAAGCTTTCCTGTTCGTCTTGGTCAAGGTACTCTTGAAGGCTGGAAGCTGTACGCCACAAGCTGGTGGTGTCGTGCTTGAGCACAACCTGCAGTGAGCATGCGTCTGGACTTTCAATGATCGTCGTACGCAAGATTGGGTTGTTGGCGACCGTCATGTCCCAGGCCTCCTTGAACATTGGCAGGTCGATCGAGGTTGGCAGGCGGAGAACCTTTCGCAGAATGTACGACCCAGGATTGAGGAGCGAAAGTGCCATGAGACCTTCTTGCAACGGCGTGCATGGGTACGCATCCTCGACATCGTCTGGAGATACCTTGCTCTTAGCTCCAATGGACGATACAGTTGTGCTCCCGTCGAGAAGGCTGAATGGAGCAACTGTCTCGCTGCAACTCTCGCTGCTGGAAGACTTGCTGCTGGAAACAGCTGCCATATCGGACAGAACGGGATGTTTGAAGATATCTGCGACCGTCGCCACTCTCTTCGATGCAAGCACCATTGCCGAGATGGAATCACCACCCACTCTGAAGAAATTATCGTCTGATCCAATGCGGGAGACTGGTATCTTCAGGACCTCAGACCAGGCGAGTGCGAGAGTTTGCTCGGCTGCAGTCGTCAATGGTTTCTTAGAGTTTTCTGATTGCGAATACATGCGCAGGAGTTCCTCTTGAGGCATACTAGCTATCGTCTCACGGAGACTGCGTCGATCAAGCTTTCCGGCAGTGGTTGTTGGCATCTTGCTGACGGGAATGTATAGAGCCGGAACTTCATACGGTGGCAATGCTGCCTCGAGAGCCCGCTGAAGTCGCACGATATCGTTCTGTACAGATTCGGATACTGGAAGGAGCAGGTCTTCTCCCAGAAGCGACTTGTTCTTCTTTTCGAGACAGAAGAAAGCGGCGAGACAAGCCTTGTCTTGCAGACCACCCGGAAGCACGATGTCCACGCAGACGCCACTCGCGTCTGGCAGGTTGCTCAAGGTATGAGTCTCGATTTCAGTAAGCTCGATTCTCTGACCACGTAGCTTGGTCTGCTGATCAGCTCGACCAAGGTATATGATAGAGCCGTCGGTGCTGTAGCGAGCGCGATCGCCGGTATTGTATGCTCTCTCGCCTCGAAGGAAACCGGGATTCTCCAGAAATACGCTGTCGGTTTTGGCCTGATCTCCGAGATATCCGTCTGCGAGCGCCGGCCCAGAAAGATGAAGCATGCCCACAGCTCCGAGCGGCGCAAGCTGGGTAGGGTCGTCAGGGTTGACAATCCAAGTTTGGGAAGCAACGCCTTTGCCCAAGACGTCGTTGCGGTCCATCGCCCCCTCGAAAGTCTTCATGACTGCAAAAACGCCTGCGAAATTGATTAGTCCTGCTCTAACATCAGATGATAAGGACTCACAAGTCTCTGTTGGGCCGTATCCATTCATCAATCGGAGTCTGCTTGCCCATATGGCGATGTTGTCAGCCCCGAGAGCTTCACCTCCAAGTATCAGTGTCTTCATTGTAAGAATATCGTCTGGCCTGACTATGCGCACAAGGGATGGAGTCATAAAGGCGGTATTGACTTGTTTCCTGTTGATGAAGCCGACGATATCGCTCATCTTCTCGTCGTCTGAAGGTAGGCAGATGGTTCCACCGTACATGAGAGTGGTGAAAATCTCCAGAATGCAGGCATCGAAAGTGAAGGCGGCGAACTGGTACATGCGTGTGGAGCTGTTGCAGTCGATGAGGGCACCGTGGTGGAAGGTACTGCTATTTACTGCTCGGTGGCTTAGTACCACACCCTTGGGCACACCACTGGTACCAGATGTGAAGAGACAGTATGCAGTGCTCTCAGGATTGACAGCGGGAAGAACAACAGAAGTCGACTTCGTATCCACAAGGGCCCCGGAAGATACTGTCAAGACGTTGTCGGCCAGCATCTGCATTCGCTTCGTGTTTGTCTGCGATGCCAAGATCAGCCGGACGTCTCCAAGCTGGGAGATGATGGTCTTGAGACGGTCATCTGGATGAGCCATATCGAGAGGAACATAACCAGCTCCGGTTTTCATGATGCCCATCATAGAAACGATGGCCCAGACACTCTTTTCAAAGGCGATGGGGATGAAGTCGCCGGCCGTTACTCCATGTTGCATGAGTTGAGCTCCCAGTATGCTACTCTTGAGGTCCAGCTCGCTGTATGACATGGTACCCTCAAACGAATCGATGGCAACAGCTCCAGGAGCACGCTTGACTGAATCTTCGAAGACCTCATGGACACACTTGTCAACCGTTGCGGGTATATCCGAGTTCCAGGAAAATATCTGTTTGCGGTCTTCGTCGCTTTCCATCTTCAGCTGTGCAACCAGGACCTGTGGTGTATCAAGGATAGAAGCAAGGATGCTTGAGAGGGCGTTGCTAACACTTGCCGCCTGGGCATCGGATAAGATACTGGCGAAGTAGCTCATCTGTACATGGATCTTTCCAGCGTCGTCGGAGATACTGATCGAGATGGGGTACTCTGTCGGATCCACACCATCGATGTAGCGAAGGTGTAGGTCGCCAGCGAAGAAGTCTTGGTGCGGTCGTCTCTGAAAGCTGAGCACGGTGTTGAACAGCTTTTGGCCAGACGATAGACCAAGCTCGTGCTGGATCTCAGCAAGGCTGACATGCTGGTATGGAAGAGACTGCAGGTATTCGTCTTGCAACTTGTCCAAGGAAGTGATCGCCGATTGCTGTGAGGTGGCATCGAAGTCAATTGAGCAGACGAGCATGTTGATGAAAGCTCCGACCGCTTCTTCGATCCCTGCCACAGGGATTTCTCGACCAGACGCCAAGTATCCAAAACAGACTTGATCGTCTCCTGTGAAGGCTCGGAGGACCTTCGCCCATGCCAGGCGGAAGATGCTTGCCAAAGTAACATTGTGCTCTTGGCAGAACTGCCGTACCTGGGAGGCTTCAGGAATCTTGACGTCGACTTGGCGAAGAGGATGGGCTTCTTCGGCTTCCGTATCTGACTCTAGGATATTCGGAAAGTGGCATGCCCTGACACCACTTAACTGGCTTTTCCAGAAGTCGATGGCAGCGGCGCGAGGCTGTGACTGGATGTACCCAATGTAATCGCTGTACAGAGGACCAGGGCTGACATTTGATGGGTTCTGATAGGCCTCCACCCAGTCCGAAACAAGGATGGACATCGATGCGCCGTCCACCAATGCGTGACTGATCTCTAGCTTGCAGAGTGTAAGGCCGGTCTCGTTGTCGTGTAAGATCGTCAGGCAATGCGGCGGCTGGTCTGGGCTGAACACCTGTGTCTGAGCGTTCATGAAGCTTACTGCATCTCCTTCAGGCGGGCCTAATAACTTGACCAAGGGAGAGTGTGCCTTGAGCAGGAGCTGATCGTATGGACGGTCGGACAGACCTTCCACAAAGACTGTTCTCAGCACCACTTGTCGGTCAACCACCATCTGCCAAGCTTTGACCAGTCTTGGAACATCAATTGGTGCTCCGCGAACGGAAGATACCTGCACGACCATCTCGATGTGGTATGCGCCATCCATGCGGTTCTGGGTGAGCAAGATACCCTCTTGCATAGGAGAGCAGGCGTAGATATCCTCGATATTGTCGACCGGAGTAACAGAAGGCTCGAAATGTTTCTGAAGCCTTTGGAGACTGGTGTATGATGTGTTCTGCAGCAGAGGGAAGTCTCCTGGTGTCAAAATCCGTGGCGACTGCTCCAGCGCGCAAATCATGTCGCCAAGCGTCTGTTGATACAACTGTACCCAGCGCTCAATCGCCTCGACATGTTTCATGTTGCGGTTGTAGGTGAGCGAAACATGAGCTTTTCCGTCGAGGACATATGTGTTGATGTCGATCAGCGAAAACCGGTTGACCTGAGGACCGAAGTCACCCTCGTTGAAGGGTATGATCTGCAGAAGACTGGCGTCTTCACCGGATGCGGCTTGCTGCTCTTGTCCCTGGTACACTCCCAGATAGTTGAACAAAATCTCGACAGGCCAGTGCTTCGCAAATGCAGCTCTACCTGCTGGGTTGGAGACGGCAGAGTTGAAGTAAGACCAGCCCTTGCGTGGCAAAGATCGTCTCTGGTCTTTTAGTTGCTGAATAATGCCTGTAAGGTCGTCCTTGAGAGGCGAGACATGTAGAGGATACATGGTAGTGAACCACCCGACTGTCTCTGTGACATCGACACGAGAGCTATCCCAGGACTCTCTTCCGTGACCTTCGTTGAAGATGGATGGTGGTGTACGCGAGAACGCTTCCGCAAACGATGAGAATGCAGCAGCCAGTAGAATGTCCAGAGCCTCAGTCTTCATGGAAGAGTGGCAGTTCCGTAGGAGTCCGTCGGTACTATTGGCGTCCAAAGTGAAGTTGAACTCTGCTATATCGCGCCTAAGGTTCTGCTCCCCCTGCATGCCCCAGTAGCTGTAGTCTGCTGCTGGGACCTCATGCAAGAGAGATGATTCAGGGGTGAGATGTTGCGTGCTGTAATCAGCCTGGGCTTTGATCCAAGAGTGGAATGGGAATGGCTTGAGTGCGGGTAGATGCGATCCCTTGACCGTGAGCAGGTCCTCGAGCTGTCGAATGATGATCCTCCAGGATACCAGATCAATGACCAGATGATGCGCTGTGAGAAACAGAAGCTGCTTGCCGGTACTATTGATGTTTAGCAGCACGACAGCAAATACCGCCCCCGTTTCGATACGGTGCTGTTCTTGTTGCTTTCGAGCAATGGCACGAGCCTCTTCATCCGAGTCGACAGCGTGGCTTGCGAAGTGGAAGCTCCCTTCCAGCTGCTTTGGAATCATTTGAGTCCAGCTTCCGTCTTTGTCGAGGGAGTAGCGAGCTCGCAGCAGTGGGTGATACTCAACGAGTTGCCTTAGAGCGTTCGCCACTTCATCTGCGCCCTGCTTGGCTGTCACAGCAAGCAAGAAACTCTGGTTGAATTGGTTTGCTTCGGGCTCTCTGGAGGACCTGGCAATATCGGAGAAGTACAACTTTTGAATAGGCGATAGCTCAAAAGGAACGTCAACCAGTTCTTCCTGCTGCAGGCTTTGGGGTTGATCCGACTTTTCGGCGGCCGCTGCCAGGCCGTAGAGGCTCTTAGACTGCATGATGGCCTTGACCGTCAACCTCAGGCCCTCTTTTCGGCACTGTACGACTGTGCCAATTGCTTGGATAGAGTCTCCTCCGAGGTTCAAGAAGGACTTGTTCAAATCGACTTGGTCCAGTGGTATGTTTAGAACGGCGGCGATTATGCGCTGGACAAGCTTAACCTCGGGGCTAAGATTATCCTGTTCCACAATGGCGCCTTGATCTGCGGCTGCTGTGGTATCCAAAGCTTGCGTGTAGGTCTCATTCGATAGCGTCTCGACCCAACGAGCAATGGTAACACGATCGACCTTCTTCGACGGCGTCAAAGCCATTGATTCTACGATGAGCCACGAGGTTGGTACCATGTATCCTGGCACACGACTGCGAAGCTGCTCTTTGATTTCTTCGATTTGCTTGGCTGCCGCTTTGGCATTTTCAGGGGAGATTGGACGCAGCTCCTTGGATACCATAGTTCTCTCAGAGAATTGCTGAAGAGCTACGACCGCTGTAAGCTTCCGTTGGCATATGCCCTTCTTTGGCACGAAGATGACCGCAAAGCGGACGAAGTCGTGGGCGGCGACATTGCGTTCGATCTCAGAACACTCGATTCGTTGTCCGTTCAGCTTGACTTGTCCGTCTTGCCTGCCTACAACCACGACAGTGCCATCCTCGTTGTATCTAACCAAATCTCCGGATCGGTACAGGCGTGTGTTGGGGTTGTCTTGCACACGCCACGGTGGAGGTGGAATGAAAGCTTCTGCACTCTTCTGAAGATCGAGGTAGCCGCGGGAGAGGATTGGTCCTTCGACCAAGAGCTCACCAGTCGCTCCAATAGGAGCCAGTTTGGTTACGTCAGTGGTATCAGCGATCCAGAGAAGAGAGCCATAGCCTCCATTCCCTTTGTTGATTGTGGTGACCGGATTGCCATGTCCAATATCGGCCATAGTGGTCCATACCGAGCATTCAGCTGGACCAAAGCTGTTAATCACTCGTGCGTGGCCGTTCCATGTCTTGACAATATCTTCTCGAACCAGCTCACCGCCCAGGGCCAGGGTCTTGAGACCGGGAATGTCCGCGGGACTCAACAAGCTTGCCATCGAGGGCGTAAAGAACGACCAGTTGACTGCGAGACGATTGATTGCTCCAGCAGTGTCATTCATTCTCTCGTTCTCAGACGGGATGCAAACACATGCGCCCAGCATCAATGGTGCCCATATCTCTGAGTTGGCCGTGTCGAAGGTGTAGCTTGCGAACTGGAAGACACGAGAGTCTGTTCCAATGCCCATCTCAGGGTTGTGAGCGACGACTGAGCTGAAAGAGCTGTGCGTGATCGTAATGGCTTTCGGTCGGCCAGTACTTCCACTGGTTGTGCATATGAAGGCTCCATTTGCCGGCAAGGCCACCTCATCAGGAAGCTTTGACTGGTCCTGAAGCTGGGCCAACATAGTCTCATCGACAACTATAACAGGCTCAATGACAGCTCTGAGCTTCTCAGCATAGTCATTGGAGCCTGTTAGCAATAAGACCGGCTCGGCCTGTTCGATGATGTTCCGGTGATGCTGCGGCGGATGGGCAGGGTCAACGGAGAGATATGTTCCGCCTGCCAAGAGAACTGCGAGCATTGATACGACAGCCCACTTGCTCTTGTCGAAAGCGAGAAGTACCTTTTGCTCGGTTGTCACTCCATTGTTGCGTAGATGATGTGCAAGACGACCCGCAATAGAGATGAGCTCCTCATACGAATAGGAGCCGTCCCATGACGCAATGGCCGGGGCACTGGGGCGCTCTACCGCTTGACGAGCGACTTGTTCATGAATGAGGTGCTGAGCCGCTGGCGGAACTACTCCGTTTTTGTTCCGGTGTAAGATGATCTGCTTGTCCTCCGGAGTGATGAATTCCAGACTGGTGAGTGGTGCAGTTGGGTCTTCCAGCATATCAGTCAGAATCTTCGAGAATGTCTTTCCGATCCGAGTGGCTTGCTGAGTGGTGTAGTATGTTGACATGTAGCTAATGTTTGCCTCAACGGCTGCTTCACTGGCTGTAATGCTGACACTGCAGTCATATTCTGTTGGGTCGTATGACTGTACGCACTCGATCTTGATCTCGTTTCCGGTGTCGTCTGTTGAAAGTGGACGTTGGATTGATAGTACCGAGTTGAAAATGCGGGAGCCTGCAGAGGCGTCCAGAATGCTGTGCTGGATCTGGCTCAACGGAGTATGCTGGTGAGCCAAAGAGTCTAGGTAGTCGCCCTGCGCCTTTTGGATTGTGGTCAGTATGCTGTCTTTGTTGGACGGCTTTGCATCAACGCGGCAGATCAGCATGTTGATATAAGGTCCCAGGGCATTTTCTAAACCGTCGAGCGAGATGTCACGGCCAGACGCAAGGAAGCCAAAGACAACATCGGGATTGCTGCTGTATGCGCGGACAACAATGGCCCACGCAGTTTGCAGGATACTGGCCAAGGTGACTGCGTTGGCCTTGGAGAATGCATGAAGCTTCTTGACAGTATCAGAAGGAAGGTTGACCTTGACATTCTCCAAAGTGTTTTCAACGGGTGCACTCTGGTCAAGCAGGAGCTTGGGCATGATGCAAGGCTCAACACCTTCAAGGTACTGGCTCCAGTACGTGAGAGAGTTCTCAACCTCGGAATGTTGCCTCTCAACCAGCATTGAGATGTAATTGCGGTAAAGGGGTGCAGGACCTTGGCTTTGGTGTTGATAAGCCGAGACAAGATCTCTGAGAATGATGGCCATCGAAGCGCCATCAATCAAGGTGTGGCTGATTTCAAGGTTGAAGTATACCTTTCCGTCTGTAGCATTCTCATAGGTCGTGAATCTGTGCAATGGAAGACCGTCTTCGTAGTCGATAGGATGAGTCCAGGGCTGGTCTAGAAGTGCTTGGTAGTCGCCTACTTGAGCTTCTCTAGCACTGGATTGTTTCAACACGGCCTGGGTGTAGAGAGCGCTAACATCATCATTGTTTGCGTTGCTTGTCTCGACGAAGACAGTCCGGAGAATGGCATGTCTGCTGACGACCTGCTGCCATGCCGACCGCAACCTTTCGACAGACACTTTGATGCCTGATTTCAGTGCAGTCGCCTCACAGAGCGCAAAGAACTTGTAGTTGCCACTTGCCTGGGCCTGGGCAATGAGCAAACCTTGCTGCATCGGACTAGCCGGGTAAGCATCCTCCAAGTCGTCGGAGCCTGTGTAGCCGATTTTCTTCACGTCCTTGTCGAGGGCCTCTAGTGTGGCGTTCGCAAGCAAAGCAAATGGCTCGTCACTACCAATCTTCCTGGTGGGTGTTGATGATATTGAGCGGGCTTTCTTTGCAAGGTCTCTCAGCGACTTGCTCATGAGAACGTCCTTGACAGTGACGGAGAGTCCATTTGTCCGGCATTTCGCTACGGCTTGCATAGCCTGGATGGAATCACCGGCCATTCCTACAAAGCTTTGATCCATGGAAATCTTTGACTGCGGCTGCCCAAGAACACCGGCGACGATACCTTGTACAGTGGCTTCTGTCGAGTTCAAAGGGGCTGATACCTTGGCCTGCTCTTCAGACTTATGTGTTGCTACACCTGGGATAGCAGCCATCTCTTGAACATATTGCAGCACACGAACGCGGTCTGTCTTCTCGTTCCGAGACAGCGGCAATATGTCGAAGCAGAGCCAAACCGAAGGCATCATATAGCCCGGTACGCGCTTGCCCAGGTAGGCTTGACCCTGTGCGATCTTCTCGGCTGCTACTGGGTTGTGGGAAGGATCGATGAGACGCATCGTCTTCGTGTCTTCTTGCAGGGTGGAAGACTCGCGAAGAGCAATGACTGCGACTAATCGCTCTCCGAGTGGTCCACTTCGAGGGTACAATACAACCGCATTGGCGATACTGTCGGAGCGGAGGATGTTGTACTCAATTTCCGCCATCTCGATACGCTGTCCATGAAGCTTGATCTGCATGTCCTTGCGGCCCACAACGTTGATGCTACCATCGGAGTTGTACCTGCACAAATCACCGCTGCGGTAAAGCTTCTCTGTGGAAGAGATCTGCATGTCTGCCTCAACCATCCATCGAGGCGGCGGGATGAAAGCTGCTGAAGTCTTTTCAACGTCGTTCAAATACCCGCGCGCAACGATAGGCCCTTGTATGAGGAGCTCTCCGACTTCACCGACATGACACAGTCGGCCCGGGTTGCCGGCGTCCGTGACCCACATACGCGCTCCTAGGCCAAAGCCGATATTTCCGGGGGCATCGGTGAGGGTGACAGGAGAGAGACCAGTAGAGTATACACTGGTCTCGGCTGGGCCGTAGATGTCGATGAGGTGCAGTTTGTCTGCCCAGGCTGCAACGTTTTCCGCCCGGACGGCCTCACCTCCCAAAGCGAGGACTTTAAGGCCCGGAACGTCTGCTGGCTCCAAGAGACTGGCTACTGATGGCGTGAGGTAGGCGATGTTGATGTTCATGCGATTGATGACTCCAGCCAAGTCGTCCAGGCGCTCCTCCTCGGCCGGGATGCACACTGTTCCTCCCATCTGGAGACCCGAGAATGTCTCGCCGATGCTGACATCGAAGGTGTATGAAGCAAACTGAAGGATGCGTGCCCCAGGTTGATTGTACTGCATGATGGGGCCGTGTGCTGCAGAGCTGCTCGCCAAAGCGTGATGCTCGAGCACGATTCCCTTCGGTTTTCCGGTTGAACCACTCGTGAACACAACAAAGCAAGAATTGCTTGGGGTTGGTTGGATCCACGATTTCGGAAGAGTTGATTGCTTCTCCAACAATCCATCGAGGAGGGACTTGCTGATTGCCAAGGCCTTTCCGACCAGTTTTTTGAAGAGATGGATGTACTCAGGAGAAGTAAGCGCCATCTTGGCATCGCACTGTCGTAGCAACTCTTCTCTCCGCTTCTCAGGGTGTGTGGGATCCATAGCGACACAGGCTCCTCCTGCTTTCAAGACCGCTAATTGGGCAACAGGAACCCACATGGACTTCTTGAAGCAGAGTGGGACTAGAGTCTCCGGACCGACACCTAGCTCGCTGAGATGTGCAGCAAGGAGAGAGCTGATTGAATCAAGCTCAGCATAAGTCAGGCGGCCGTCATAGGCGTCGATGGCGAGGGCGTTTGGCTTCTGTCTTGCTTGCTCAGAGATAATGTCGTGTATGCATCGTTGATGATCTTCCCATATCATCTCGTTCCATGAGAGAATCTGCTGTTTATCATTGTCGCTGAGAAGATCGATCTCGTCGAGCCGTTTTTCGTGACCTTGAACGATGACCCGGATCATGTTCTGGAAGGTTCCCAAGACATTGCTTGCCATCTGGTCACTGACCTTAGATGTGTAATGGCGGAAGCTCAGGTGAACATCGTCTCTAGCGACGGCAATGTTAACCGAGATATCATACTCGGTCAAGTCAACCTCGTCGACAATCTCGAAAGCGATGCTGTGTTCGCTCGCCTGGATGATGTCTCCCAGCGCGCTTTGCAAGGACAAAACGGTGTTGAAGAGAGGCCCACGAAGCTGGAGCTCATGCTGGATCTCGGCCAATGAGCAGAGCTGGTGAGGCATTGATTTGAGGAAGGACTGTTGTACAGACTCCGCAAGCTGGAGAAGATTGCTGGATGCAAGCTCACCCAAGTCCAGTCTGCAGACCAACATATTGATATATGCACCGACGGCATCATCAATGTCCTGTACAGAAAGATCTCGCCCAGCAGAGAGGTATCCGAAGCAAACGTCTTCGGTGCCGCTATAAGCTCGCAAAGTCATGGCCCAGGCCAAGTGTAGCAAGCTAGCAGGAGTGATGTCGTGCGTTCTGCAAAAGTCGTGCAGTCCGAGACTTTGATCAACTGATGCCGTGAGTTCATGTAGCTCGTTTGACCCGTGCGAGTTATCATTGAGGACTGGGAAGCTGCAAGTAGAGATACCTTGCAGGTACTGCCTCCAGAAATCCATGCTCACGGACTTGTCTTGTTGCTGCAGATAACCAACGTAATGTGAAAATCTTGTTGTGTGGGTAAGATCCAAATCACCTGCGTACGCAGCGCTGAGGTCGCGGAACATGAGCAGCACAGATACACCGTCAATCAACGCGTGGTCAATCGCAGCCATGCAGTACAAATGCTCTTCCGTCACATATATGACAAAGCCAACTCTTGGTCTCTGACCTTTGTCGGCATTGGCGATGCTGTATTGGTGAACAAGTTGACGGACGTGTGCCTCGTTACGACATGAAACGACGCTGATCTGCGGTTCAACATTTTTCAACACGAGCTGGTCACAGGGTGAATTATCCGAAAGACTGGGGGTGAAAATGGTTCGGAGTGATGCATGTCGGTTGGACACTTGCTTCAGTGCGTTCTTGAGGCGGTCAATATCCATGCTCTCTCGCCCATGTGGAAGGGTTGCCCGGCACAAGATCCGCAATTCGTAACTGGCTGACTCTCGCTGTTGGCTCAGCAAAATGCCTTTCTGCATGATTCCGAGAGGGTAGACTTCCTCGACATCTTCCGCCTCTACGGGAAGACCAGGAAGAATTTCAGACTCGAATCTTGCGAGATCGTATGAGATAGGGTATGTCTGAAGAGTGGTGACCGCGTCACCAGTCTGAGCCCTCTCGGCCAGTTCTGATAGTGACTTCGACTGCAGCATGTCTTGCATTGAAACGGCGATGCCCGCAGCTCTCAATCTCGAAAGCAACTGCATACCCAGAATGCTGTCAAGGCCATTGTGGATGAATGAGCGATTGAGACGAATGCTGGACGCGGGTACATTGAGAATCTCGCTGCATGCCTGCTGGAGTATCTCCTCGACCGGGCTGGCGGCAATGACGGCGATCTCAGAAACATCTCCAGTGACAAGGTTGTAAGTTTCCTCGTCCATGTTGTTGACAAACTGGGTGACAGCTGAGCGGTTGAGCTTTCCAGATATTGACAATGGGACTGAGCTGGCGACGATCCAGAGCGAAGGGACCATGTAGGGCGGCAGGTGGGCAGACACATCCTGCTTTATTTGTTCAGCAGTGTCAAAGTGGCCCTGGATAGGCTGAATTCCTGTGTCCGACTCCGGATCGGGAACTGTGCTCAATGATAGCACAACTGTCAGCTGGTCCTTGCACGGGCCCTGGCGTGGCAGCAATACAGCTGCTCTTCTTACGGTCTCATACTTGGCGATATGATGCTCGATCTCACCAAGCTCGATTCTCAGCCCACGCAGCTTAACTTGCGAGTCTTGACCCTTCCTACCCAAGAAATGGATGGAACCATCGCTGTTGAAACGGGCAAGGTCTCCGGATCGGTACATCCGTCTGGCTTCCGCAGACTCGGACCTTGGTAGCCATGGGAAGTCATCGGAAATGAACACGGCATTAGTTCTCTCTGCATCCTTATAGTAGCCGCGGGCGACGATAGGCCCATGGACAAGGAGCTCTCCCGGACATCCAGGCGGAACCAACCGACGGTGATCTTCGGGATCTACAATCCAGATCAGGGCACCTAGCGGGAATCCGATATTGCTCGGATCGGTATCCGGAGAAAGATTTGGCAATGCCGTTGCTGCGACACTGCATTCAGTTGGTCCGTAGCCGTTTGCTAGTTGGACGTGGGTGGGGGCCCACGTCTCCACGTCACCCTTGCCGAGCGCTTCGCCGCCAAGAACCAGGAAGCGAAGAGTCGGGACCATGTCAGGGGTCATTAGCTTCACCAAAGATGGCGTCAGGAACGCCCAAGTCACACCAAACTCTTGAATGCAGTGAGCTGGTCCCCGTGAACGCGACGCGTCTCCAGGGATACAAACACATGCACCCGTTATGAGTGAAGTCATGATCTCAAGCAAGCTGACATCGAAGGAGAAGCTGGCTAACTGCAAGACGCGGTCCGTAGCTCGCATTCCACTGGCCTTTCGTTGCGCGTATGAGCCGGTAAGAAACTGGCGATGCTCAATACAGCAGCCCTTGGGTTTGCCGGTGGAGCTAAGGTCATTGTTAGTACGTACTCCCGACACATAGCAGTTTAACTTGCTTACCCTGAAGTGTAGATAATGTACAATGAGTTGTTTGGCCTGACGGCTGATGTGGGTAGTGACATGTCCGGAAGGCTGTCGATCAGACCGGAGTCCACCGCGAGGACTTCTGCACCTGTCCAGTCCCACGCATCGGCGTATTGAGGTGCTGTCAGCATGATTCTGGCCTGTACTTGGTTTTGAATTTCCTGAAGCCGAGCCATTGGGTGGGAAACATCGAAGAAGAGCATGGTCGCGCCTGCTCTGACCGCCGCCATCATCGCTACAAGAGCCCAGGCGGACTTTGGAAAAGACAGCAATACAACGTCTTCGGGGCCGACAGACTTTGCTTGCAGTACCAGTGCTAGCTTTCGCGACGCGCTCTCAAGTTCCGCATAGGTGAAACTCGCATCGCTAGCATGGATGGCCATATTTGTTGAGGCGTGGTTGGCTTGGTCCTCGAAAAGCTCGCCAACACATCGATCGACTGAAGCTGGTGCCACGGCATTCCATTCGAACAGCTTCCTAGAGCTAATTGGATGTAGAACCTGAAGCTCGGAGTAGATTGCCGTGGGCTTCGTCATGACTTCGCTCAGGACCTGCTGGAATGTGCTGACTATATCGGCAGCATGATCTTCTTCCAGAAATGTTCGTGAGTAAATGAGCTTTGCCTCAGTAGCGTGGTTGGATTCGTGAAGATGCAGGCAAATAGCCATATCATCATCGTCGGGGGGGCTGGTGGTGTTGAAGGTTACTGCCGTGTTGCAGTAGGGACGGCCGTTCAATTCTAGGAATCCGGAGTTACTGTTGAGGTCCGACACTCTGAAGTTTTCACTTTGTGTCAGGCCCGCTCTCAGCTTGCTTCGGACTGTCTCTACAGTTGTGTCTCGTTCAACCGTTGCCGAGCACAACCTCGACCAGCCTGACTGGCTGGTCAATCGAAAAGATACGGAAGCATTTCCGGTGAACAGCTGCAATACGATGCTCCATGCTGTCAAGATGTCCAAGCGGGTTTCCTCGTCGGATAGATTTCGATAGTGTCTCTTCAAAATGTGAAGAATAACGTTTTGCTCTGAATGGCCAGATCGCGCAACGCTGTTCTCGATCAGGGAAGGGAAGTAGCACGGGGTAGCATCTTCCTTCCATTGCGTCCAGTAGCTTGCCATTTCTGGCTCGCGGGCAACTTCAACTTGGTGAACCATATTGTTTGAATGGTAAGAGATGGATAGATGTGAACAAAGTGTGAATAATGGTTGCAAGTTGGAATGAATGAGGTCGCAGGTCTCAGGTGTTCCGGTGTAGTAACATCTATCATGTACAAGCCGTGTATTCTGAGCTTACCATAAACGATCTCGACACGTGCCGCAGTGGCTCTCTACTCCCAACTCCCGTAAGCCAACACGGCCCTCCGGGCTGAAGTCAAAAATATCCGTATTAGGTCCCCTAGCGCATGGTTAGGCTTTCCCTGCATGGTCATCGGCTCGCAGGCCGCCGCAACGCCTCAGGGACGCGGTTGGGTCGTGCAACGACCAGGATTTACCGAGTAGGATTATTAGTGTCAGATGTAAGATGCATCAGACAGTCAGATCCATGGGGGCTGCATAAGGTGTGTGTGTGTGGACCCGCGGGTTAGGCCGCCCGTCGGTCAGCACCTATTTGGGGAAGCGTTGTACTACGGGTACCGAGGCAGCGAACATGTCACTTCAATATGCACGCATGTAATTGTGGTAAACGATGGATCCACTAGGGTCCAGACGTGTTCTATTCGGGTTATGGCTATGCCCCATTACCAACACTTTTTCAAATGGCCTCAAATCACATGGGGCCGCGGTTCGTACTGCCGTCCCTACGGAAAAACGCAGTGCTTCTGGATGGCAGATTTCCTCCGCGAATCACGGAATGCACAAATTTGACCTTATTGCGAATGTGGAATTTCTTAGTGGCGAAAAAGTCAAAAATTCAATTGCAGTCTATAGGCGCGGCTAATCTAACTTCCCAAATCACGACGTCCCTATGGTCGGCACAGTCATTGAACGATTTTGCAACACTGGTCGCAGTTCAGTCACATTTTCAAATACCGGTGTTCCCTCCGGCATGGCACGTGGCGTGAAACGAAGATGCGGTCCACTAAGTCTTGTTAGAAAGTGCTTGTAAATGCGATGCTGGGATTATGACTTACTCTTTCGAAGCCGTGATGTGGTCTCTCAACTTGAACTCATCCTCGATACCCCATCGTTTGTCGGTAGCTTGTTGTTTCTCAGGATCAAACTCAAAGTCCAAAGTGTAGACAGCATATGCGACTGCGAGGGTCAACTCGACAAGGGCCATGTGCTTGCCGACACAGCTTCGTGAGCCGACCGAAAAGGGGCAGAATGCTGCTCTTGCCGCTTCAATGCTTTTCTTGGGGGTCCCCTCGCTTTCCATCCAGCGTTCTGGGCGGAATTCGAAAGGAGATGGGTAGTATTCCGGATTGTGCTGAATAGCGTAGATTGGGACACCAAGATCCACTCCAGGTGGGAACCATTCTCCGTTGACAGTGGCGCCACCATGCAGAACCTCCCGGTACAGTGACGCTCCTGTAGGTGGCGACATGCGCAGGGCTTCTTCAATGCAGGCCCGCACGTACATGAGCTTGCTCAACTTCGGGCCGATTCGAATCTCCTCTGCGGAGTTGAACAGCGACCTGACTTCATCTTGAACGCGTCGATAGGCTTTAGGTGAGTTTGCCAGGTAGAAGAATGTGGCAGACATGGCAGTTGATGACGTATCTGAGCCAGCAACGCATAACGTCGTACTTTCCGCAAGCACTTCCTTGGAGCCCAGCTTCTGACCGGTAACGGGGTCATGAGCGTTCTTCAATATTGATACAATTGTAGTTGTGGCCTTGGAGCTACAGTCGGGCTTCATGACTTTGTCGACCAGTCCTCGAACAAAGTTCAAAAACTGGTCACGAGCCTGAATCGCCTTGGGAAACAGCCAGCGGTCAATGCGAGCAATTCTCGGAGTCACAGGGCTTTGCAGAAGTACGCTAACGCGAACATTGGATCTAAAACGAATCGGATGGTTAGCAGAATTTTCCTTGCAAAGAATAATGGGTTGTGACTAACTGTTCAATCGCATCAGGAATGGCACGGTTGGCTGTCGACCCCAGCAGGTTGTACTGCATGCCGAACACAACATCGGCCATGATGTCAAACGACAGGTAGTTGAACCAGCTTGCCACGTTTTTCGGTTCATCTGTGCCTGACAGTAGTGCGAAGCACTTCTGAATATGGGCCATCAGTGTAGGCTCGTGGAACCGTACAGCTGCATCCGACAGGCCTTGTGAAACGATCCGGCGGCGACGCGCGTGCTCCTCCTTGTTGATCATGGTCAAGGTATTGGCGGCTCCATGCCTTAGAACTCGGTAGTTGGGACTGGGAGCATGTCAGAACCTGCACTGCCTGCGCTAGGAAGAACAATGTTCTCACCTTTTCTGGAAGCTCTTCGCACCGCTTATGTAGATCTCCTTCAGGGCTTCGGCAGTGTTGAAGTTGAGCTGGTTTGGAGAGTACCGCACAATAGGCCCTTGTTGATTTTTAGTTTACCGTCGATCAACACCTTAAAGAAGAACATACCATATCGCTCATGTTGTCTCCATAGATCGATGTGGATATCCCCTTTCCATGCATGATATGCAGCGTAGAGATCCGTAATTTTGGCAAGAAAAGGACCAGGATACTTGGAGAGCGGATGCCAGTACAGGCGTCGGATGCAAAATACAATTGCCTGTTCCCTGTCAATATGGTCCCAGTGATGTGGTACTGGTAACAAGCAATTAGTTCAACATACTGAGATGAATCCAAATGACACGCAAAGAAGCGCTGCACGCAAGAGACTGTGCATCATTGCCATATTTGTCTGGTGAATGCAGGTACAATGAATTGGAAAACAAGAAGACGAAGTTTGATTGGGGGGACTTCGAGGCTCTCTGAAATGATTTCTAGGTGGTCTGTGCCAAGGCGGAGGGGAATACACCTGGTTACCGGTAAGGCCCGCACCTGCAAACTTAGCAATCTTCATCAGTTGCAGCTTTAGCTGCAAACTATATCCTCTTCCGCGTTAGACGCCTGCGGCTCAATAACTTACCCTCTCCGCCCCTTTGGGGCGAGGCTGCCTTAGGTAACCTGCGGATAGACGCCGGTGCAGGGGTGTTCTGCTGTCATCGGCAAATAAGCCCAAGTGAGTCAGATGCGCGACTGCATCGTGTGCGGCGTGCAGCCTGCATGCGCATGCACGTAACTGTGCACAGACTGCCTGTTCTCCAGATGAAACTGTTTTGGCAGCGGAGCAAGCCGACCGCTTACAGATGAGGCTCTTTCTCACGGCATCCTGCAGTGGCTAGCAATTGTGGCTTCACCCTTGCACACGGGTACAGAACACCATTTTCATCAGGCCCCACCTGCTGTATACAGCCAAGCGCTCACTGTTAAGGATTAAGCAACAACATCACGAGTTAGTTGTCAGCAAACATCAGCTAGCAATATGCTAGTGATTTATCCTCAAATGATGAGGCCGCATTCGCTAGCAACTGTACAACAAGGCCGCCTATCTCAGCTCGCACCATACACCAGTTAGCAGGTAGACCCGGCCCATCAGTGGGTCGTGCGTTATCATCGCCATTAACCGATTTGAATAACTATTATTGGGGTGAACTACCGTCGTGCCTAAGGCCTACACTCGTCGGAGCGAAGACTGTTTCGGATAATCGAAAAATACACCACATTTAGCAATGTGGAGCGTTGACTAGGATGCACTGTTCTGACATGTGGCAATGCAAGCGATGGAATTGTGTACCTGACCTGAGCCAAACCCGCGGGGCGGAATCATGGTTCCAAGAATCAAGCGGCTGAGCACACTTTGTGCATGTTCTCGAAGCGTACTTTGTCTTTCCCGATTCATTTTACCGGGTTATACACGCGCTTGACTTTTTGTCGTCGAACCCACTGCTCACAGAGCTTCAGTATACCAAATCTCCAACATGAAGAACACTCACAGAAACGACGACGAGATCGCCCGGACAGTGCTCATTGAGCTTCTGGCCTATCAATTCTGCTTCCCAGTACAATGGATCAAAACGCAGGACCTCATACTAGGCTCGCAAGACACAGAGCGTCTTATCGAAATAGGTCCTACGACCACCCTGGCGAATATGGCGAAACGGACAGTAGATCTCAAGTACGCCCACCGGGATATGGCCCAAAACACCCAGCGGCAGTTCTTGAACTTCCAGCAGAACATTGATGCCATATCATACAACGACCATGTTACGACACCAGACGTCATCGCCGAGCAACCTGCGAACATTGCGGGAGTGGAACCCAAAGACATGTCTACCACCACCATCACTGCAAGCGCTCCACAGGTGCTCCATGTTCCGATTGAGCCACTTCAAGATACGCCTGTCAATCCCATGGAAATCGTCTCTACAGTCGTAGCAGCTGCGTTAAAGAAGCCGATGGATGCACTGGAAATGAAGCAGACGATCAAAGCATTGGCTGGTGGCCGCTCTACCCTCCAAAATGAAATCATTGGAGATCTTGCCGCAGAATTCGACGCGATCCCCGATGGTGCTGAGGACTTACCACTAGAAGGTCTATGCGCAGCAGTGCAAAGCAATTTTGGAGGAAAGTTAGGAAAGAAGGCTTCGTCGATGGTGGAGAGACTAGTTAGCCAGAAACTGCCAAGCACTTTCCAAACCGCTACTGTCCGCAAGCACTTGAACGAGAGATGGGGCCTGGGACCAGGACGCCAAGACAGCGTTCTGCTCTGGGGCGTTACTTCTCAACCTGGATTCCGCCTCAAGGATGACGGCGAGGCCAAAGTCTTCTTGGACGGCCTCGTTCACCTGTACGCCAAGAAGCACGGCCTTAGTCTACCAGACAGTAATTCGCTTTCTGTCACAGTTTCAGTCGAAGAGACAAAGATCAACTCTGAAACCGTGGCACTCCTGGAGAACAAGCAAAAGTCGGCATGGCTCGAGCAGCTCCAGCTTTACTCGAATCTGCTCGGCCTGGACATGCACGCATCAGAAGCCACCATTGATGCACTTCAGAAACGGGTATCTGACTTGGAGACCGAGTTGGATGCTTGGGCTGATGAGCATGGCGAATTTTACGCGTCTGGAATCCACCCAATGTTCTCGCCTCTGAAAGCCCGAACCTACGACTCATGGTGGAACTGGGTGATGCAAGATCTCTTGACTTTTGTTGCTCTGGCAGCGACAACGGAGGCTGGCGAAGCCCAACTTGACCAGCTGAAAGCAAGGATCGTCGGTCGGGCGAATGATCGTATCATATCTACCCTCGGCTATCTGGTCTCTGCCACAAGCAAGGAGTCACTTGCTCGCCGATTGTCAGGCCTCTTAGCAGAATGCGAGGGTGCATTAGGCCTGCCTTCATCTGTCCGCCATCCTGGTCCCTCTCTTGCCCCATCTACGATAATTGAGGAAGATGGCAAGATCGTCGTATCTGAGAAGCCCAGGTTGGGCGATCCACACGCCGATGATCAACTGCTTAGACTGGGGCGAAAAGGCGTCGCTGGTTGGCAATTTGATGGGGAGCTTTCATCGGTGCTCCATGACTTGCTCCAGGGTACGAATGCGACTCGCTTGTCTTTCGCTGGAACAACAGTACTTGTCACTGGCGCTGGCGAAGGCTCAATCGGCTGTCAGATCGTTGCCCAGCTCCTCAATGCTGGTGCAGTAGTTATCGTGACTAGCAGCTCATATTCACCAAAGTCGACACGGTTTTATCAAAAGCTATACGCCGAAAACTGCGGTAAAGGCTCAATGCTAATTCTGGTTCCATTCAATCAAGCCAGTGTTCGCGATGTTGACGCCGTGGTGGACTACATCTACAGTAAAGACGGCCTCGCCATGGACCTGGACTTTGTGGTACCATTTGCTGCAATCTCAGAGAATGGTCGGACTATCAGCAACATCGACGGCAGGGCTGAGCTGGCTCACCGCGTCATGCTCACGAATACGCTACGTCTTCTTGGCAACGTGAAGCAGCAGAAGATGAATCGCGGTACAGTCGCTAGGCCGGCCCAAGTCATCCTTCCACTTTCACCCAACCACGGCTCTTTCGGGAGTGATGGTCTCTACGCGGAGTCCAAGCTAGGCCTGGAAGCTCTTTTTGAAAAATTCCACTCCGAAGATTGGGCAGACTACTTGCTCGTTTGTGGCGCAATCATTGGCTGGACACGCGGTACTTCACTGATGTCAGACAACGATATGGTTGCTGAGGGCATCGAACAGCTTGGTGTTCGGACATATACTCAGACGGAGATGGCGTTCAACATCGTATGTCTGCTGAGTGAAGAAGTCAAGTCACTGTGTATCGACAGCCCGGTGGTCGCCGACCTGAGTGGAGGTATGGGAGAGATTGTAGATCTTCAGCAAGCTACTGCAGAAATCCGAGCTTCGATCATTGGGCAGAGTGAAGAACGTCGTGCTCTAGCGCTTGAGGCTTCGTTTGAATCATCTGATGCCAACGCTGAAACGGATCATGGGTCACTGGCAAACGTTCAGTTCGCCTTCCCCGAGCTACCTGACTGGAACCGTGACGTTCTTCCTCTTACCGAACAGCTCAAGGGTATGGTGGATTTGGATCGTGTCATAGTTGTTGTTGGCTACTCCGAAGTAGGCCCATGTGGTAACTCTCGCACAAGATGGATGATGGAATTGGATGGTCCTCTTCTTTCAACAGAATGCTGCATTGAGCTGGCGTGGACGATGGGCCTCATCAAGAGCCACCATGGTGTGGTGGATGGCCAGTTATTCTCTGGCTGGGTGGAGAAGGAAACAGGCAAGCCCATTGCAGACCACGAGATTCCCACGAAGTTCGGAAAATTGATCCGCGAACATAGTGGCATCCGTCTCGCCGAAGCAAAGCGTGGCGCCCCAGGCTGGAAGGGACGCGAGGTTTTGCATGAGATCGTGGTTTCAAAAGACCATGACCCGATCGAAGTCAGCAAGGATGTTGCTACACAGCTCAAGCAAGCTCACGGAGAGAGCGTGCACGTGTCTGTCGACGATGCGACGGGTCAAGCAAAGGTCGTCTTACGAAAGGGCGCCAAGATCTCGGTGCCTAAGCTCATTGACGGGAGCCACACCGTCGCTGGCCAAATCCCAACAGGCTGGAATGCTGCGACGTACGGAGTGCCACAAGATGTGATTGAACAAGTCGACCCAGTCACTCTCTTTGCTCTTGTTGCTACCGCAGAGTCGTTCCAGTCTGCCGGCATCCTCGACCCGTTTGAACTCTACAACACCCTCCACGTAAGCGAAGTGGCAACATGCGTTGGTGCAGGCTTCGGTGGCATAACAAGCATACGTGAGATCTTCCAGGAACGCTTCCGCGATATGGACCCTGCGAATGACGCTCTAGCTGAGTGTTTCATCAATTCCAGCAGTGCCTGGATTAATATGCTCCTCCTATCAGCAGCTGGTCCTAATCGAACACCTGTTGGCGCATGTGCTACGGCAGTGGAGTCACTCGATACAGCTTGCGATCTTATCCAGACTGGAAAGGCGAAGTTCTGCGTTGTTGGCGGATGCGACGACCTTCTCAAAGAGACATCCACAGAGTTCGCCAACATGAAAGCCACGATCGATCCTGATCAAGACGCTCTAAACGGCCGCGATCCTACGGAGATGAGTCGCCCAACTACTTCGACTCGTAAGGGGTTCGTGGAGTCTGAGGGTGCGGGCATTCAGCTCGTTACAACTGCCTCTGTCGCGCTGGACATGGGTCTTCCGATTCACTGTGTCGTCGCGTTATCATCCACTGCAATGGACAAAGCAGGTCGCTCTCTGCCTGCCCCTGGACGTGGAATCCTGGGCACCGCCAGACAGAGCACTGCAGAATTTGACTCACCCTTGATGAATATCAAGTACCGCAGAAGAGCTCTACAGGCACGATTGCAACAAGTCGAAGACATGCGCGACCTCCAATTGTCTTACTTGGATGAAGAGGTTGAGCATCTCATGACCGACTCTACTGTCGACTTCTCCGTCGACAAGTATCGTCTACAACGCGTCACGGACATTGAAAACGATGCTCTCCGAGACCAGAAAGAGGCTCTAGACTTGTACGGAAATCGATTCTGGACGCATGACCAACGTATCTCTCCTATACGCGGTGGCCTTGCTGTGTGGGGCCTTTCCGTCGATGATGTTGACATGGTATCTTTCCACGGCACATCAACAAAAGCGAACGAGAAGAACGAAGCAGCTGTAGTCAGTGAGCAGTTTAAGCACCTCGGTCGAACGAAAGGAAACGTTGTTCCTGTCGTTTGCCAAAAAGCCCTCACTGGTCACCCCAAGGCGGCTGCAGGAGCTTGGATGCTCAATGGGTGCATTCAAGCCATGCACGACAAGAAGATTCCCGGAAATCGGAATGCCGATAACATTGACTCGGAGCTTCAGAAGTACGAGTATCTCGTATTTCCAAACAAGACTGTGGAGAGAAGTGAGGATGTCAAGGCCTTCTTACTCAACTCATTCGGCTTTGGTCAAAAGGGAGCAATGGCAATTGGTGTGAATCCAAAATACCTATTTGCTACACTGAAGCGGAAAGACTACGAGGTATACACGAAGAAGCGACAGTCACGAGAAAAGAAGGCAGTTCGACGGTTTCATGAGGCTATGAACTGCAATAGTGTGTTTCGGCCAAAGAAGAATGCCCCTTATTCTCAGGAGAACGAGACTGCTGTTCTGTTGGATCCGGCATTTAGGCTTGGAGCGTGAAGGAGGCGTTCTGGGACGAGAGACTTTCACATGTTTTACCAAATTGATTTTTCCATTTTCTTACAATTACATTCATTTACCCACGTCCCATGAGCGCAGGGCCAAAATCAGAACTTGCATGTGAGACCAACATACACGTGACTTATCTGATGACCACACTGCAGAAATGCTGATCTCATCAAAAACGCCTCTTTTCCACGGCATCAGGCATGACTGATCAAAAAAGATAGTAGCACTCAGCAGCAGGCAACAGAATCTGCTGACAATATCTTGATCTGGGATTAACTTAGCACTTCGAGTCATACCACGATGTAACACCGGGACGCCACAATTCAACTCATATAGACGTAAGCCGTGATGCGGTAGTTGGATGCCTTCCAACCTGAAGGGCCGAGGCCGCTATTATTGCACCTGAAGGATTCTTCACGAGGTCACGCCTTTCACAAGTTGATGTCACATCATAACGCCACAAGAAGACTCAATCCGGTCTGAAAAGTACTACTGCAGTTGCCCTTACTCAGAGACAGAGAATAGGATGAAACGGGCCCGTTTCCGACGCTTTATGCAGGTCAGATGCGTGGCGTGGTAGGCCCAAGGCACGCAATTCCACATGTTTGTCTGATGCGAGCTTTGGTGAGCTTCGTCTAACATCCCAAATTAGGGGTCCAAGCGCCGACCCCGGCCCCCTGGCTGCCTCGTTAAGTAGCCCCTCAGTAGTGCCCGCATAGCTTCAAAAAACGCCAACAACGCTATCTAAACACGGCGCCCTACGGAGTGGAACCCAAATACGGCAATTGTGGTCCTGATTCAACTTGCCGTCTGGCCCAATTTCCAGGCTTCGGGTAATTCAAGATACGGTCCAGGTCATCAGGTATCATGGCATTTTGACTACTTTGTAGTCTGCGTCGCTGTGATGAAATCCTCTTTTCCTATCTTTTCTCCAATGTTTTCGAACACCAGAACCAGCACAATGGACTCCGACATGTCATTTCACTTCAGTTCTTCATCCCCATATTCACTCTGTCTGGCATCTACACCAGGCTCAGTCCGTTCGACACGGCTAGAGTACCTAAGCTTGGCGTACGAATGGCACATTCCCGAGGTCCTACAAGGCCATGTCTTCCAGCTATGGGAGAAATTCACAGCAGATCTTCGGATCAAAGTAGATGGCATTGCCGACCCGCCTGCCTCTGTACTGGAGCTGTTATCCCAATTTCTACTACACGTCATGCGATACGAGCAGGATGAACCTCAAGGCTTGTTTCAATCCAACTGCCTTGAGCTTCTTCTAGCCCAGATAGAATCAGACTTCCTTGGAGACTCCAGCATCCAAAGCATCGTGTCTGATCTTCCCGGAACACCTTTGCAAAGGCAAAATGTCATACAAGCGTATGTGGCCGCCAACCAACATATAAGACAATCGAGCCTGAGGACGGCACCAAGAACTGCCCTCTTCGACCAAAGCGCAAGCCAAACAACTCAGACTTACGCCATCTTTGGCGGTCAAGGGAATACCTCAGACTATCTACAAGAGCTGCGCTCTCTTTTCGACACATATACACATGTCGTCGAACCAATACTGGCGACTGCTGAGGACACTCTCCGGGCCTTTCTCCGGAACGCATCTTCATCCTGCCTCAAGCACTTCAAGCATGGTCTAGAGATCACGCAATGGCTGCAGAGACCTGAAGGTGCCCCCTCGAAGAATTACCTACTATCAGCACCTGTCAGCTTTCCTCTCATAGGACTGTTACAGTTCGCCACATACGCCGTCATCTGCTGGTCTCTCAAAAAGACACCAGGAGAAGTGACCCACATCTTCAAAGGAATGGCAGGCCATAGTCAAGGCGTCGTCGTTGCTGCCACTCTCTCAACAACCACAACATGGGAGTCACTTCACTACGCTCTTGTTCAAGCATTGACTGTGTTGTTCGAGATCGGTGTTGCCGCTCAGGAAGCGACACCGGATATGGATATCCCGGCTTCTGTCATAGCGGAAACTACCAACGCTGGCGAAGGATCTCCGACTCCAATGCTTAACGTTGCAGGGTGCGATTTGAAGCGCCTGCAGTCCTACATGAATAAGGTGAATGGCTTTCTTAATGAGAGCCAGCGAGTCTCCATCGCACTCATCAACGGACGCACAAACTTTGTCGTAGCCGGGCCTACACTCTCAGTATGTGCTCTTGCAAGAACGCTACGCCGACTGAAGGCGTCTCCGGAAGAGTTCCAAGACAAGAAGCCGTTCTCATCAAGGAAACCGGAGTTCTCGCTCCAGTTCTTGCCTATATCAGCACCATTCCATACACCACATCTCGACAAGGCAGTTCCCGGCGTATTGGCTGCGCTAGAGAGTGTAAGACTGTGCCCAAGCAGTTTCAGGGTGCCTGTCTATCACACTCATACCGGAAAGGATCTCCGGCAGCCGGGAGCTGAGAGCATCATCCCTGATCTTGTTAAGATGATCTTATGTGAGGTTGACGATTGGCCCTTATCTACTGGGTTCAAAGCTGCCACGCATGCAGTCGACTTTGGCCCAGGTGGCCCATCTGGTGTCTGTTCTCTCTTATTACGTAACAAAGAGGGGACTGGACTGAGAGTGATTCTTGCTGGCCTTGCTGAAAGCGCTTCACCTGAGCTCGGAGATATGGCTGAGCTGCTGAGTGCCAAGCCTACCTTCGGTGCAGACTGGGTCGAGAGATACTCGCCACGGTTAGTCCAGACCGAGGGAGGTATCGAGATCCGGAACAAGATGACCCGCCTTCTCGGCCTTCCACCCCTCATGGTAGCAGCCATGACTCCGACAACAGCTTCGTGGGAGTTCGTTAGTGCTATCGTCTCCGCAGGCTATCATGTGGAGTTCGCAGCAGGTGGTCTTCACACTGCAGAAAGCTTCACTGATGCTATCAAAAGCCTCGCTAGCTCGATCCCATCCGGCAGAGGCATCTGCATCAACATCATCTATGCTAGTCCCCGCCAGGTGCGATGGCAACTTCCACTCATCCGAAAGCTTCGATCTGAAGGTTTCCCGATTGACGGTATCACTTTCGGCGCCGGTGTCCCTTCCACTGAAGCTCTGAGAGAGTACCTGGATATCGGCCTGAAGTACCTGTCCTTCAAACCCGGGTCGACTTCTTCGATTAGCCAGGTCATCGCCATTGCACGTATGAACCCAGATGTTCCGATTGTATTGCAATGGACCTCTGGTCGGGGTGGTGGCCACCATTCCTATGAAGACTTCCATGATCCAATCATCAAGATGTACGCCAAGATTAGGCGATGCGACAACATCGTACTACTTGCCGGAAGTGGCTTTGGTGGTGCCGATGATACCTACCCTTATCTTTCTGGAAACTGGGCTTTGCGATTCGGTCTTCAACCTATGCCGTTCGATGGTGTGCTATTCGGCAGCCGGATGATGGTCGCCAAGGAGGCCAAGACTAGTCAAGGAGCCAAAGAAGCGATCGTGGCGGCTCCTGGAATCGACGATGAAGCGTCGTGGGAGCAGAGCTACAAAACCCCAGTCGGTGGCATTGTCACAGTCAAGAGCGAGATGGGTGAGCCCATTCACAAGTTGGCGACTCGAGGTGTTCTTCTCTGGCGAGAGCTTGATGGAAAGATCTTCAGCATATCCGACAGGACTCAGAGACTGGCAAAACTGCTGCAGATGAAATCGTATATCATCAAGCGGCTCAATGACGACTTCCAAAGGGTCTGGTTTGGAGTTGACAGCCAAGGCAACGCTGTCGACCTGGAAGACATGACCTACGCCGACATTCTTCATCGTCTCATTCAGCTCTGCTATGTCGCGAAAGAGTCTCGCTGGATTGACAAGGGCTACAAGCAGCTTACAGCGGACTTTGTTCGTCGCATGTGCAGCCGGTTGCAGCGGTCTGTGCCGCCAAAGCTCGATATGGAGGAACCTCTACAGGTTCTGAAAGAGGTAGTTACATTCTGCAAGTCGGCAGATAAGGTCGTCGCATACAGCGATGCTCGATACTTCTTGCTCCTCTGTAAACGCCAGGGCCAGAAGCCACCTCCCTTCGTCCCTGCCCTCGACGAAGACTTCGAAACATGGTTCAAGAAGGATTCGCTCTGGCAGTCAGAGGACCTTGCCGCAGTGGTTGATGAAGACGCTCAGCGCACTTGCATTCTGCAGGGCCCAGTGGCGGCAGGATATTCTACCAAGATCAACGAACCAGTAGCGGAGATACTGGGCAATATCAGTCAACAGCACGTCTCCAGAATCCTGAGAGAGGTATACGACAGTGACGAAACACTCCTACCAGTGGATGAACAACCGGTCCGCTGCGACGAAACATCATCCCTTAAAAACCTCCCAGAGTGCTGTCGCATTAGCCAACAAGGATCTGAGACAGCTATCTACATCAACGAGAGAGCGTCACAAGATCGACTACCACACATTGATGATTGGGCCAGAGCTCTTGCTGGAGCTGACCATACATGGCTATCCAGCCTACTCATGTCTGAGGACATCGTCCGCGACAAGATGATCATTCCCAATCCCATCCGGAAAGCACTTGCTCCGCTCCCTGGCATACGGGTAGAGCTATTCGATGCAACTTCGGCGTCGGAAGCCTCTCTTATCGTCTACGAGAAGGCCTCCAGTAGTGAGCCGTCTTTGGAGATCCGCAAGGAAGGCGATCTGATATTCGTCACAATGTTTGTGCACGAGTCTGTGGGAAAATCCATGCTCACCTTTTGCTTCCGCTTCACGTATCGGTCCGACACCCCACTTCATCCTATCCACGAGATCAGTGAGGGCCGTAACGAGATGTTGCAGGAATTCTACGATGGACTGTGGTTCGGCTCTGAGCGGCATCAGGTGGAGTCAGGTACCCTGAATCTCGACCTTTCGAAGCTTGTTGTAGAGAGCCAGCCAACTAAGATCTCTCCGTCCTTGGTGCAAGCTTTCATGGACAGCATTGAGCAGCCAGATCAATCTCGCACGCCGAGAACAAGTGTACCTTTGGATCATTGCATCGTCGTGGCATGGGAGGCCATGATGAAGGCCACCTTCGCCGGTGCCAGTGGATGTGACTTCTTGAGTCTTGTACATCTGTCGAACAAGTTCAAGGTTCTGGACGAGAGACCTCTCGATGTCTCCAACAAAGTTACTAGTACAGCTGAGATCAAAGCTATTCGGAATCTCCCAGCTGGACGAGCAGTCGAAGTCGTGGCTACCATCACTCGGGACGGTCTTCCAGCAGTGGAAGTCACCTCGGAGTTCCTCTTCAGGGGAACGTACACCGACTTCAGGGAATGCTTCGAGAGAAGAATGGAACCCAAGATTGTGGTGACCATCAATCGCATGGCTGATATTGCTGTTCTCAAGAGCAAAGCGTGGGTGTCACTCGAACAGGGCCTCGACTACAAGTCTCTGCTTGGTCAAAGACTTGTTTTCGACTTGCACACTCTAGGCCATCTCGCATCTGCTACAACCTACCGCAGCTTACAAGTTTGTGGACATATTTTCATCGAGGATCCTGAAACAAAAGTACTGCGTGCGGCAGGAGAAGTGAGATACTACTCTGCAGGACCAACAATCAGCAACCCGGTATTGGACTACTTGAATCGCTGTGGAACACAAATCAACGGCCTCAATACGCTTCCAATACCGCAGCCTCTTGGAGGGAAAAGCTCTCTCAGTGTATCAACACCTCTCGATAACCATGCCTACGCACGGGCCTCTGGTGACTTCAACCCAATCCACGTCTCCCAAACAGTTGCGAGATACGCCAATCTACCCGGACCCATCACTCACGGCATGTACACCAGCGCTGCTGTGCGTCAGGTTGTCGAGAAAGCCGCTGGTTGCAGCAACAAAGTACACATGCGGTCTTACAAGGCTTCGTTCGTAAACATGGTTCTTCCTAACAGCGTCTTGGATATTCAAATCCACCACACTGCCATGAAGGACGGCTTGCGTATTCTGAACTTCCAAGCTGTGCACTCAGAAAGCAAACAAGTAGTCCTAGAAGGTGAAGCCGAAGTCGACCAACTGCTTACAGCATACGTCTTCACTGGCCAGGGAAGTCAAAAGCAAGACATGGGCATGGACCTATACACCACATCTGAGGTTGCACGCCAAGTCTGGGATGAAGCCGACAGGTTCTACTCAGAGACATACGGCTTCCTGATTAGCGATATCGTCAAGCAGAACCCCAAGCAACTGACTGTCTTCTTCGGCGGAAGACGCGGCAGAAAGCTTCGGGAGAATTACATGAAGATGACGGTTGAGTCCATCGACGGGCGACCAGAACGCTTCTTCAAGTCCATCACGCCCACGACAACAAGCTATACCTTCCAACACAACGCTGGTTTACTCTTCAGCACCGAGTTCGCCCAGCCCGCTCTCACTGTCATGGAGCGCGCTCAATTCCTGCATCTGAAGAGCCAAGGGCTGGTCACTTCAAGTGCACTGTTCGCTGGTCATTCACTGGGCGAATACACGTCTCTGAGTACAATCGGCGAGATCATGCCTTTCCAGAGTCTTCTCTCGGTGGTATTCTACCGCGGTTTGACGATGCGAAGTGCCGTCAAGAGAGACGCTCAAGGCCGTTCAAAATTCGCCATGGTTGCGGTGAACCCCAGCCGCGCCAACACCACACCAGCCGTACTTCTGAAACTTGTAACGAGCATCGCATCAACTCTACCCGACGACTTGCTGGAAGTTGTGAACCACAACGTCGAAACTCAGCAGTACGTTGCTGCTGGCACATTGAAAGCATTGGCCTGTCTGGGCGACGTAATGGACTACGTTGCTAAGAACAGGAAGCTTTCTCCTGAGGATCTGGCTGCGTTTGTTACGTCTAGAGCTGCTGCTATCACAGATCAAATGCCTGAGCTCAAACGGGGAGTGGCTACTATCCCGTTGGAGGGCATTGATGTGCCTTTCCATAGTAGTTTCTTGTTGCCCAAGATGCCTGCTTTCCGACGCGTGCTTCAACAGTATATCGAGCCTAAGGCTATTGATTCAAGGAGATTAGTTGGGAAGTATATCAGTAACGTCACTGGGAAACCGTTTGATATTTCGTACAAGGGGGTTAGTTCATTGCAGAGGTTGACTGGAAGCACTGTTTTGCAAAAATTGATAGTGGAGATGGTGGCATGATGGTCAGAGAGTGGTGGAGAGGATGTTTGATTTTCATATGTGGGAGTTTTTGATAACCTGGTCACGGCGTTCTGTGCATATTGAGTCTTTGGCTGGCCGCTTATAGAGTTCTTGAATATTTATCTGACATTCTATGATGTTCTACCTATTCATGCCATGGTACCGTCAACCACATCGAGACAGTGACCCCCAGACAACCGTTCCCAATTGCCACCAATTGATGATACGGAACAATTCTGAAATAGTCATCTAATAGGACTTCTACCTATCCATGCTACTCATTTTTGACAGATTTCATAAATCTTATCAAACTATACACAATGACCCCAATATCACGCCTTCCAAAGGAAAAGGGCGATAATAGTGAATGACTTCGTCATTCTTACCTAGCAAAACATTCACCAGACCAGACTTCAGGCAGACAGTACCTGACTGCGCCCGTCACCTAGTAAGTTTCAGGGGCCTTATTTTGCCTAATCTTGCCTGAATTTGTACATGGACGTCTGATGTAAGATATTCAAGTGTTTGTATGTATTCTAGTAACGTTTCAGGTGGTATCAACCCCGGTAGAGCAGGCCTAGTAAGACACTCAGCATGACTGTGCATGCTCGTGTGATCATGTGACACTATGCCTGACCTTGGCCGTGTCTGCCTGAGGCCGTAAAAGACCAAGACAAGTCCACCCCTGTCACTTCCCGTGTCTCATCCCAGGAAGACCACGCCATGACGGAAGCTGAAAACGCTATATCGATCTGGATAGTTCGCGTCCAGGTATAGCATCCCCCAGGACCTCAACCTGGGCCATGCGCATTTGGATCTGGCATGAACTCCAACAGTGCGCCTGAATTCACAAGCCATGCGAACATGCAGTATACGGTACCACACCCATAAGCTCAGTCTCGCTCAGAGGAACGTAATCCTCCACATGGGGCAATATCCAGCACGCGGACCGAGTATGTGACCGGGTGTGACCCTGCAAGCCACAAAACGCAAAGGGACCCTGATCTGACGCCATCTTTTTACTTTTGCATATGCAGTACCATGCATGCAGTTTTCACAAGCTTTGTGGAGTTGCGGTCATCAACCCGAAACGGGAAGCCTAACCGTTGCAGTTGTTAGCCGCCGGCCGGCCTCCTGGTCCGTCCCGTTGCAGCCGCCGTTCGGTGTCCGAAACCTTGAGGAGATCCCTGTCCTGCATAAGCTTCATAACGTAATGGAAAGCTTAGCTTTTGCGCACGTCGGCTACCTGCGCCACCACCGCCGCTTCCTTTGCATCCGCTGTCACGATTCCATCTCGTTTGACTTGTTGAGTTTCTCCGTTTTTGACAATTTTTCCGCTTCGGTTATCTGCTTGTCGCGCAACTGCATGCCAGCGGCTTGGGCGCGCAGATCACACCTTCCTCAAATAAGCCCCTAGAGCGCTGACAACGTTCGAGTGCTAGCTTTGCATACAGAGCACTACCGTACTTTTTTCTGGAATTAGCCTGTCAGATTAGCCGGAGATGAAGTGAAAGTACGATGTTTTCGCTTTGGGAAGGATCATGTGACTTAGCTGCCTCCACATCTCGCAACAAGCAACCTGTCTCGGCCATCGTTTGGAACACCAACCCGTGGAAGCTGTATACCCACCTCACCAACCAAAACAGAAGTATTATTCACTCGAGCACCTGCTTCTGCGACATGCAATCCGTTCTAGCCATCCACTTGGAACCCAACTCTGCGGACGCCCTACCCTGCACCTATCTTACTAAGATCGTAGTACCTGTCAATCACTCAACCACGTGCAGATGGTCTAGGCAATCTATCCCAGTCATCTTTTTCGGATCCCAACTGCATGATCGCCCTGCCCTGCATCCACCTCACTTAGGTAGTAGTACCTGTCAATCACTCAACAACCAGCAGATGGTACAAGCGCTCTGCCCCAGTCATCTTTAGGAACACAACCCCGTGGATGCCCTATGCGGCCTACACGCTAAGATCGTAGGATTCAATCTATGTACCACCCGCACATACCTCAAGCAGATCCTTCACGGTTATCGTTTGGAACACGACACCGTGGACCCCGTATATCCACCTTTCCCGCTAAAATAACACCTAGTACTCACTCTATCACATGCGACTGCGACGCCTCCAGTCATCCTTTGTTGCACAAATCCGTTGACTGACACCAGCATGCCCGCCCTAGTCATCTTTACGAACACAAACTCCGTGGACGCCCTAAATATCCACCGTCTACCTACTGAAATAGTCCTTAGTATACCAATTTGACATCTGAAGACGCACGGTAGACGCACAGCAGACATGCTCTAACAAAAGCCACAGAAGATGCAATTTGTAACAAAAACCCCTCCGACCCAGTTTTTGCTCTCACTCTCGCAGCATGGCACTGTTTTGGGAGATACAGAGACGGGAATAGATGAATCACGAACTGTCAGAAGGATGCCGGCACTCTTTCTGCAGGGACGGTCTGACTGGACTGGGGTCGCAAAACGTGGCTGACTGACTTGTGTGACCTTGGTGTGTGAGGTGGGCGTCAGGGCAAAGATTTTTTTTCTTCATGCAGGGTTCACACCGCTGAAGTGGTGGTGGTGGTGGGGCGGGAGATTGAAAATCTTCCATGGTTTGAGATGGAGTAAGACGACCTGAGGCCGAGGTGATGTCCACGGGCCTAAAAATGCATGGCGTGAAT